GAGTGACTGCCGCCAGGCCCAGCTGTTAGGAAGCCCGCTGCCCTCTGGTTGGGCGTGGGTGTGTTTGAGCACACACGCCATGGGTCTCTAATTCAAGTGTGAGCACGCTTCTGCACAAACACATTCCATTTCCACTGCGCCTGAGGTGACACCACCTGGGGTGCACTGCAGTTCAGCTCTCACGCTGACCACCCAGAATTAGCGGCAGACTCCACAGGTTAAGGGCTCAGTCCCGCACAGACTCCCTGCCTGCCCCACCCTCCCGTTTCAGACGCCAGCTGCGAGTGCGGCCCCCAGGACACCTGCACTTCTGACCGGCCCGCTCCAGACTAGGGGGCTCCCGTGACCTCCCTGGATGTCGCTAATTCTCTGGAATGACTCACAGAACTCGCGGGAAGTGCTGTGACTACAGTTTTATTATAAAGGATGTGACTCAGGAGCAGCCCAATGAAGAAGGGGAAGATCTGGCAGGGAGTGCGGCTTCTCTGCGCCCCCTCCCCGGGGAGCTCAGGGCGCTGCCCTCCCAGCACACTGAGGTGCTCACTCTCCGGGAAGCGCCAGGAAGCGGCTGTGTCCAGAGTAAGGGGTGTGATTTGAACAGGGGCTGAATGACTGAACCCACTTTCCACCCCCCTCTCCTTCTGTTGGCTGAAAGTCTCAACCTCATCTCCTGCAGTTGGTATCTCTGGTGACCAGCCGTGTCCTGAGTCTATCTGCCCCACCCCCACCCCGTCACCTCATTAGCATAACAGATACTAACCTCTCACTCAGGAAATTCCAAGGGGTTTTGAAGCTTGTGCCAGGAACTGGGGGAGTGGCGGTGTGCGGGGAGGGGGGGGAGCCCATTATGTTCCTGATGGATCTGCCACAACAACGTGCGCACGCACAGACCCGGAGCTCTGTCTCATTCATCCGGTCGCCGCCGCAGCGGCCAGCCCGCCCCACGCCAGTTCACCAAGGCCTCCCTAAAGTGGTGGCAAAACAACTCCTTAAAAGGCACCACAGGGCCCAAGGTGCCCCCCCACTGCCCCAGCCAGGATGTCTGCTTCCTGAAGGAAAACTGTTTCTTTTCTCTAGTTCAAGGCCACCGCCAGCAGCCAGTGTTTGAGACACAGGCTTCCCTTGCCAATCATTGTTTTCTTTTGTTTTGTTTTAAACAATCCCAAGCCCCCTGCTTGACAAGGCAGCCTGGATGCGGCAGCTCCCACCGTGGCCGCACAGCAGAGACTGTGGCTTGCTCCGCTGACCCACTGACCCGCAGGCCCTGGACCTGAACAAGCCCAACGGCGTGGCCACCCCCACTGCTCCCAGGCTCCATCCCGCAGCAGGGACACAGCTGCCGGAGGGGCTTCTCTGTGGGTCATGGTTCCGAGTGTGGCCCAGAGAGTCGGAGTTGTTTAGGCACGGTCCTGAGGCCCAGCTGCAATTACTGCTGCCCTCCTAGGGCCTGTAAGGGGAGGTTTCCCCAACCCAGGAAGGGGGTTCAGACCTCAGCAGCCAAGAAAAATGCCAGATGTCCACTGTGTCCCCTGCATGTCCGCATAGTGCTGCTGGTCCCTGGTCCTCCCACCTTCTTCCGATGCTAAGGATTCTGGGCAAACTCTTGCTTTTATGCAAGCCTCAGATCAAAGCCTGAGATTGGAACAATTCCCATTGTTTTCAAAGACCCTGAGACTTGGGTGTTTCAAAGGTGGCTGCTCGGTTTGGCCCTGAATGTGCCCTACTGGACCCACAGCTCCCTGCACCCCTTCCTCTGTCACGAGGTCATGCTTACATTAGGCACTTACTGTGTGCCAGGCCTTGGGCTCAGGGTTTCACGTGCATGATTTCATTAAATCTTCATAGCAATCGTATTCGGGAGGTGGTGCCATTGTTTTCTCTGTTGACAGATGAGGAGATTGAGATTCAGAGAGGCTGAGGGACTTGTTCAAGTCACAAAGCTGGTGATTGGCGAAGCCTGGTGGAATTTAAACCCAGAACTGTCACATGCCAGAATTTGCATGCTTAACCTCTTTACGATTCTGGAACACAGAGATATTCCACATGCTTCCTTCTCTTCTCCCACCCCACCTTCCAGGTACAATTTTTGAGCAATGCAGGGGTCAGGGAGGGCTTATCAGCCTGACCTTGAGAAATTGGCCACAATAGAGCATCACCATCTGCCTTCCCATTGGCCAGTCCAGCCTGGCCTGGAGATCATGCATGTTTAGCAGCCAAGTCACTCCTCACTTTGTTTTGGAAAGCGTGTAAACAGAGCAAGTGCATTTAAATTTCCCTGCGGGGATACAAAGCTGTGTGAAAGCCACAGAGGGGCAGGGAAGTGCAGGGGTTAAGACCTCAAGGAAAAAGAACCGTATTTCTGGAGTCTGAATCTCAGCCTTTCTGCTTGCTAACAGACCTCAGTCAAGCTGCTCAGTTTCTCCATGCCTCCATTCTCCCAGCTGTGAAATGGGGGTAACAGACTCCATGGGATAGCGCCACTGTGCGGATGTGGAGAGTGAGCGCAAGAAGCCACCCTGAACCTGGCACAGGAGAAGGGGCACACCCAGGGTGCCGTTTCCCGGGCTGCGGCCGGCCCCTTTCAGTGTGGGCATGTGAGCCAGTGCCTCCGGGCCGCCTTTGGCCTGGTGGCCTCTCCTGCTGCTGCAAGGCCCCTCTATCAGCACCTTGGTCTTGAGCTCCTGCCGGGGTCCTCCTGTCAGAGAGTCCTCCTCACCTGGCAGGCTAAGTGCGTGTCAGGCCATTGCCAGAGGGCGCTGCCTTGGGCAGTCCTCCCCACATGGTCTCCTCTGTGGTCTTGCCCTGCTCCAGGGTGGGCTGACTGGGGGAGGGGAATGTTTATGGAACTTTTGCTGGGTGCCTGAGTCTCTTCCTTACAACAAAGGTGCAGGGTAGCTGTTAGTAAACTTGATCCACACTGAGCCTTGGAGATGTCTGCCCAGGAGTTTGTCTGCTGGGCACTTTGGGGCTTAGATTTCATGCCAGGCTCCTCAGGAGCAGAAGTTTGAAAGATGAGAGAAAGTGCATGGCACAGAGGGCAAAGCTATCTGTGAGCTCAGAGCACAGTGCTCAAGGGGACTTTTGGAGCTGACCTGACACCTAGTGGCCACTGGTAGGAACTACTCCACCCTTGGGAAGACTCCAGGGCTGTTGCAGGCAGGCAGGTTTGGGGCCTGGCGGCCCTTTCCTTACTTGGGCCTGGCGGTGTCAAGGGATGGCCTGGGAAGTAGGGTCTAAGGGGGCCAGATTTCAGCTTCCTTGTATCTCCATAATTCCCCAGTAGCTACTCGAGTGAAAAATAACATTTGCTTAAAAAACTGCCGCCTTTTAATTTTTGTGCAAAGGATGAATAAAAGCATCTTGAGAAAACTGCAGTTTTTATTGATCTATAAACTGCATTTCATAACAGATTTTGATACTTTCACAGTCTCCTTGTCCTCAGGGCTCTACCCAGACACCTGCAGTGACTGGACGCTCACTTACAGGTAGCAGGCTCATTGGAAAATTTTATGGATTATAACAGACTTAGAAGACGTGGCCCCTGACTTCAAGCAGATTGGTTTACTGAGGGAGGGGGGCAAAGACTTCTACACATTGTGACGGGTATGGCGGGCACGAGCTTCGGGCCTCAGACTCCTTATCGCCTTTCTTTCTCTCTCTTCCTTTCAAAAAGTTTTTATTTATTTTTGGATAGAGGGCAAGGGAGAGAGAATGAGAGGGAGAGAAACATCAACGTGTGGTTGCCTCCTGCACACCCCACACCTGGGAACCTGGCCTGCAACCCAGGCACATGCCCTGACTGGGAATCAAACCAGCGACCCTTTGGTTCCCAGACCAGAGCTCAATCCACTGAGCCACACCAGGCAGGGCCCTTTATTTTCTTTTCATCAGCCTAATGTAGACTCTGAGCCTGTATGCCACCCACTCAATGGAAATTCAACTTCAGGCTGAGGCCCTGAATAAAGAAGGAAAAGGGGAAAATATGCTGTGAGAAGGCGGACATACCTTACTTCAAGTAACGATTCTGCAGCGTGTGCAGAGAGGCCACAGCACTGCCCCCAGCCTTGGTGCTGCGGCGTGACGCCAATGGGCTGGTGACTGGAGTCCTCCTACGTGCCACCCAGCATATCGCTGGTGCGCTGAGGGGTCAGTTCCTGGGTGCCCACCAACTTTCCCAGTTTTCCACCGCCTGCCCACAACAATTGCCAGACGAATGTATTTGTTCATGCCAGAGGTATTTATTGAGCATCTGCTATATGCCAGGCACCGAGAGGTGTTACAGAGATGTAGGAGACAGTCCTGCCCTTCTCCATCCACAAAGACGGCTGAAGAGGTTAACCAAAACCCTTCCACTTGTCCCACGCCCACTTCCCGCACTCTCTGTATGCTGTTCTTGGCTGTTCCTGCTCGTCTTTTGCTAAGCTCCGCATGTATCCCCAGTTTTCCAAGGAGTGTTAAAAAGCCATGCGGAATGGTAGGTCCCTACAACAGACTGGGAAGCCTTTATTGCGGCTGTCGCACTTTTAGGCGGGACATGAAGCTCCATGGTCAGGTGGCCAGGTGGTGCCGGGGCCTGGAGCAGAAGCCAGGTCTCCCTGTTCCCCTTCCTTGGTTCTCTTCGTGTGACCCCTCGGCATTTGCTTCTAAGGGCCCCTGACCTCATTTTGTGAACATTTGTTCCCTTTGCCACTGCCTCCTGCATCTCAAAATCTACCCCCTTGACAGTTTACAATTACTATGACGACCGCTTTGTGCACTGACTTCCTTTCCACTGCTCTTTCCCTGCCGCCTAGCAACCCCACCGCATTTCCAATTTGTCTTCCTGGCTCTTAAAGAGGCCACCAAGAACACACTCCCTGGTGGTCCCTAAAACCAGAGGTGCTCCCCTGGTGAAGGGCACAGCACCAGTAACCCAGAGATGTTGAGACCAAGCCAGACTTTATTGGCTCTCTTGCAGTCCTGACCTTGGTGTTGTCCACTGACGTTGCAACCAGCTCTTTGCTTCCTCCTTGCCACCGTCCGACCTGCCAGGACTTTTCTGTTGCAGAGACTTCTTTCCAGGCCAGACTCGTTGCTATGGCTTCCCCATTTACAAGAAACTGGTGTGAAAGGTAAGGGGACAGTGTGAGCGCCAGTGCAGCCTCATGGCTGATGGAGGAAAATGTTTAGACAGGCTCAACTGAAAGTGAGACCATTTGTGTACATGTCTCTTGGCCTGGCACAGCACTGACCGTGGGTAGGGTCTGCTGTCGGCCCGGAGAAGGAGCAGAGGGCTGGGTCACGTTGTGGTCAAGGGCTCGGCAGCAGGGTTAAGTTCAGAATGTGCATGCCCTTTGGCCCGCAGTCACACGGGGTTTGCCCTGCCGAGCCCCTGTGAGAGAACACTCGCGTGCAAACACTGTGTACAAAAGGGTCTTGGTGGCAGGGTTATTTGTAGTAGCAAAATAGAATAAACATCCATCAAAATGAGATTAAATTGCAAGACTCCTGTACTGTGAAATACCACACAGCAGCTGAAAAGCCTGAGACGGCGCTAACCGTACTCACCTGGAAAGATCACCAGACACACTGCACGACAAAGCGAGTTCAGAGGAACATGGCAGTGTGACTCCATGTGTGATAAATGAGCAATAGCGTGTGTGTCTGTGTGATACAACACGTGGTAAAGCGTATGCGTACTCTGTGATACAATATGTGATAAAATGCATGTGGTAACATGCCAGGGAAAGCTCGAAATGCTTTTGTAAGCATTAATTCATTTACTCCTCGATAATAACCTGTGTGCTGTGGGTACTACTATTAGCACCGCAATGCAGACGGGTAAACGCAGGCCCAGGGAGACTGGGTAACTAGCCTAAGTTTCCACAGGAGTGGAGCTGGGGTTGAACTCAGGTGGTTTGGCCCCAGAGCCCGTGTTCGTAACGATTATATCACACATACACACACACACACTCACACACATACTTGGTTGCAAGTATGTGGGAAAAGTTAGGGAAATATGCACTAAAATAATCCGTGAGGGCACTCTGGGAGCCGGGCAAACTGGGGGAGGGGGTGCAAAAAACACTACATTTTCTTCTTACTCTCCTTCTGTGGATGTAGAATTTTTATATGTAGGTGTCATTTGCAGCAGTAAGTGAAAATAAAAACTCACGCAACAATGGAAATCACAACTCAGCCCTTGAGGCAGAACTAACAGAGCCGCAGGGTGTGGCCCCGGTACTGCCTCTTGATCCCCAGGTGACCTTGTCTACAAAGCTGGAGGGTTTACTGGATCCGGAACCTGGTCTCTTGACCTCTGCCTCCGGCGCTTCCCACCAGTGTCCCAAAGAACACGAAGCTCCACTTCCGGGAGGGCGGGGTGCGGGGGGGGGCGGGGAGAGGTTCAGGACGGAGGGACGGGTGGGGGATGGTGTACAGGCCTGAGCCGTCCTTGAGGGCCCCCTCGCTGAATGACGGCTCCTGATGTGCACCGTCCCCACTCGATCCGTACCAAACTCTCTTGGATGCTGTGGCTACCACTCCACTCTAAAGATTTGGAGACGGAGAGCCCCGCGAATGGCCACGCCCTTCCTAAGGGCAGGGTTTGCGGGTGGGCCAGACTGCCCTCCGGGTCTGCGCAGTGGCTCCTCCCCGTGGGCGGTGCTGATGGAGGCACAGGCCAGGGGTATTGGGGCCGTCTTTCCGGGCAGGACCAGAGGGGGCGCTCCTCTGATGGAGCTCCCTAAGGACATTGCCAGACACGAAGTGTGGGGCCCGGCGGGTGCCCCAACCCTCAGACGCGGCGGGGTGCTGTGGCCTCAGTGGGGAGGTCTAGCGTGGCGGAGCAGGTTCTGGCACCACGCAGACCTGGGTTCCACGGCCACCGCCGTCCTTTCCGGCGGTGAGCACTTCACTCCGGTGCTTTCCTTCTCTAAAGCTCGAGTTCATCACTTACAGCACAGGGCTGAGACCAGCACCGCCACTGGGTCCCGCGAGAGTCCAGCAACTGTGCCTGTTTGGCGACTGGCGGAGTCCTTGGCACGTGGTAAGGATTTACGGGTGTTGGATATCATTGTAATTATCATCATCATAGTCCTTTCCTACCTGCCTCGAGGACTTCAGCCTAAGTCACAACCTGCGTCATTCCCGAAGCTACAGCAGACTGGAATGACCTGCGGTCCCCAGTGTGCTGCGTGCGGCTCACACATCAGGACTTGGTACTTGACATCCCTCTGCCCTCCCGTCTTTGTCTATGTGACACCTCCTGCCTGAGTGATGCCTCCTCTTTGGGCTGCCGTGGTATCTTGTACATACTCCCAAACCCCTTTCACCACGCCAGGGTGTAACCCTGTGCTCCTTTGTGTCACTTCCTATCTGCTGTGAGCACTGCGTCCCCAGAACCTGGCCGGCATCCAGCAGCAGGCAGGGGAGGCTGACGCTCGGCTGAGTGAGCCAATGGAAGATGAGCAGGAGGGTAAACAGTGGGGCCAGCCCTGGGATGGGGCAGAGGCGGCCTGCTAGGCAAGGGACATAAAATGCAGACAGGGTGGCCCCAAGAGCTCGGGCCAAACCAGCCAGGGTGCCTTATAGAGAACCGAGGGCCTGCCCAGGACAGATGGTGGGTGGGGGTCGGCCACTGGGCCTGTGCTGACCTGAAGTCCACCATGCCTTTCTTGTTATCCAGCCGCTTTGTCAGCTCCCTGAGCTGGAACCGGTTTAGGGGGACCTTGTCCTGCTGCAGAGGTGAATGGAACAGGCGAGGTTAATGGGGGTCTCGGCCCACCTGCTCTCCGGGCAACCCCTGCCCCACCACACACATGCACACGCACACATGCACGCATGTACACACACACACATACGCAGAGTGCCCACGGCTGCTAGAGATCAGCACACCTGTATCATGACTTTCCAGAATTCGCCCATCGGCATCTTTACAGTCCCAGCGGGGTTCAAGCTCTTGAAGAAGTCCAAGATCGTGATTTTGTTCTGGTCTGCATAACTCTGAGAGAAGCAGGAGACACCAGGAGCAAACGCTTGACCTTATAACCTGTGTAACAACATTCCCTCCTCTCCCCTCCCATCACAGGGCGGCCTGGACCCAGACCTAGCAGGCCGGGGGTGAGTGGGACAAGGTGGACCCAGGAGCTAGAGTGTGCTGGGTGTTCGAGTCACTTAGGACCAAGAGTCCTTCCTATCCAGGCTGATGCTGTGAAGGTCCCCCGGCACGGAGGGCACAGGGCTGTGATTGTGCTCACGTGTGTTATTTAGTTCTGACATTGCCTCTGCTAAGACCACGTGGATGGTGCACTGTCGGCGGAGCACCATGGACGGTGGGTGGGCGGTCCTTAGCTCCCAGACCGGAAGACCAGACCGCAAACGTGCTGTGCGGTGGGCAGGACTGGCTCTCGGAATTCTTTGAATTCTCATCATTTCACACACTTGTGGAGAAGTACCGTGTCAGAGTATTTTAAAAATAATATGTCACTGTCTTCATTTCAAAAATATTACCCACTCACACTGTAAGGTAATTTCAAATTAGTAGAAAGAAGAAAATGAAAAGTAATCCATAAATCCGATCCCACCATCCAGAGGTAACACCTTTTTAAAAGAAAAAAAATTATTTATTTTTAGAGAGAGGGGAAGGGAAGGAGAAAGAGGGAGAGAAACATCAATGTGTGGTTGCCTCTCATGTACCCCCTACCCTGGACCTGGCCCACAACTCAGGCATGTGCCCTGACTGGGAATCAAGCTGGTGACCCTTTGGTTCTCAGGCTGGCACTCAATCCACTGAGCCACACCAGCCAGGGCTATTATTTATTTATTTTTAAAGAGGGGGGAAGGGAGGGAGAAAGAGAGGGAGAAAAACATCAATCTGTTGCCTCTTGTATGCACCTAAACCGGGAACTGAATCCCCAACCCAGGTACGTGTCCTGACCAGGAATCGAACCAGCGACCTTTTGCCATGTTGTATGATACCCAACCAACTGAGCCACCTTAGGCCGAGGGTCCCTCTTTTGCTGAAACCACTAAAGAGCTGCCCTGTCCTGACCACAGGGGTGTCTTGCTTGGCATCCTTACCAGCTATTGGAAAGAGCCCACATTTATTGGGTGCTTGCTATATGCCAGGCATTGTTCTAACCAATTCATGCATGTTATAGAATTTATCTGCATAGCAGCCCATCTTACAGGTGAAGAGGTTGAGGTACAGAAAGCTTCAGTAATTTGCCTTTGGTCCTACAACAGCAAGGGGAAGAGCCTGGCTGGTAGAAACCTTCCTGTTCCAAGCCCCTCCCACTCCAGCCTGTTCTCAGCTGTTCCTTTCTGTGAGGAGTCCGACATCCATGGGGAAGTTTCCACGTCCGAGCCGTTCCTTGTCAGAGAGGGTTGTGCCCTTTGCGGGAGGGGAAACTCTGGGTCGCTGATGGGAGTCAGAGGGCGGCTGTCTGCAGGGGGCCCCCAGGGGTCTGAGAGGAAAGCAGGGGCTTACCTGGATCAGTTTCATGGGGTTCGTCCACAGGAAGAAGGTGCTCTTGACCGAGAGGCCCTGGACTGCCTTGTAGGTCACATCCAGCTGGGGGTGCACGGCGTACACCCCGTCCAATATTTTCACAAACTGCTCGGACACCATCACGTTCTGAGGCAGGGGGAGAGGGGACCCATCACGGTGGGGGCACCAGCACTGCCATCGCCAGGCCCAGATGCTGTCCCGCCCGAACATGCTGTCCCCGCCCACACCAAAGCCCAAGGGTTCCGTCTTCTCCAGTTTGCCCGGCAGTGCTGCTCCCAGACTGGGGTGGCTCCTGCGTCTTAGAGCTCGTGGTTTAACCCGTGGGTTTCCCAGCTGATCCACCAGATGTTCTAGTTGAGTGCTGGGGACGTGTCACATGCTGTGACCTCAGCGCCACCCCCTGATGGCAGGCGTTAGTCTCTGTTTGACAGATGAGATGTGGTGACGGGGCGGCAGAGTGGCCCTGGGAGGTGTCCCTGTCACACCAGTGCTGGACTGCGGAGCAGGGGCACTGCTGAAAGAGAACCCCTGGAAGAGAACCCCTGGCTCCCACCCTGGGCGCGGCTCAAAGCGCGCTGGGAGCTTCCATGGGGCAGTGTCCGGGGTGCTGGGTCAAAGGCCACGGGAGAAAACGTGTGTCGTGAAACAGCATTTGATCAAACCCGACCTCACAGCTTTGGTCGACCTGCTCCACTCCTCAGATGTGATTCTGAGTATCTCTCGCCTTCCAAAGAGTTAAACCCATGCTTAAGGGCTGAAGACTTACCCCTCCCCTCTGTAGATATTCTAGAGAAAGTTCTAGAAGCACCTACAATGAAGGAATTCCAGCACCTCTTAGACTTATGGCAGCATAACTGACAAAAGGCTAATTCCGACCCACTTGTTCTGGTAGGCTGTTAAGCAGCAATGTGATCCCCGCGCACGGGTGTGTATGCCACTGGGGCCTGGACAGCGCCGTTTCCAACATGCCCTCGGACACACCAAGGCCGTGCCTGGGTCCGTACCTTCCAACCAGCTCTGTGGGAGGGCAAATCACATATCCCCCAAACCTGGACCCGTGGCTGAGGCCCAGAGGCAGGGCGGGGAGGGAGCGAGGGGAGCATGGTGGTTGCAAGGGCAGAGCTGTGGGGTGAGGGCAGAGAGAGACCTCAGAGGAGGATGATAAAGACTCGTGAGCACCAGGGTCCTGGGGCAGGGAGGGAGGGGTGAGGGGGACCCAGTGAAAAGAAAGTAGGTATTTACAATGTTTGATAAATCTGTGGCAAACATTAAGTCGAAAATTTTCTTAGGCTTCAGTTCCAAGGAGCTTGGGTTTAAATATTCAACAAACATCATCACTGATATCATCATGGCAAGGCATTGACATCTGAGCAAACCATCACATCGGCGTGGCGTTTAAAAACGTACCACCGCGCCTTTTCAGAACTCTGGCGCGGGAGGCAGACGCCCTGGGTTTGCCCCTTGCTGTGGTGCTCACTGGCTGTGTGTGTGGTCCTGGGCAAGCAAGTCACCTAACCGACCTCTGTTTCAGCTTCATTATATGGACAATGGGAAAATGAGGAAAAGTTCTGTTGTGGGTTGAACTGTGTCCCCACCCAAAACAGATGTTGCAGTGCTAACCCCCAGCACCTGTGAACCTGACCTTACTCGGAAACAGGGTCTCTGAGTTACGACGAGGTCTTTTGGGTGGGTCTGCTCCGATACGACTGGTGTCCTTATGAAAAGGGGACGTTTGGGTGTGGCGACAGACAGGCGCACAGGGAGAACGCCAGGTGAGCTCAGGGGCGGAGACTGGGGTTGTCGCATCACCAGCGGAGGAAGGCCAGCGTTGCCAACGACCGCCTGACGTTAGCAGGGAGGCGGGGAGCAGATTCTCCCTCAGAACCCTCAGGAGGAGCCGACCCTGCCCACACCTTCGCCTTGGACTTCTAGCTTCCAGAACTGAGAGACAATACATCCCCGTGTTTGACCCACCCAGTTTGTGGTACGCGGCTGCGGCAGCCGTGGGACCTGCCTCCCCGGGGTAGGAGCAAACAAGCCTGCAGGTGCAGAGTCACTGTGGGGGAGTGAAAGAGCATGAAAGGGCAGACCAGCACAGGGCAGAGTCATGATCAGCTGCGCCCTTCAGGATGATGCCGGTGAGGGTGCCTGGCAGCCTGAAGTTCACTTCCTCAGGGCTTTTTCAACCATCAAGGGATTTTTTTTTTTTTACCCTCAAATACTGCTCCGAGTAGAGTAGGCTAGATTACGAAATGAAAACACAAGTTCGTCCATGTTTTACTACTCAGATTTGAGAAGTCCTGTGATTCTGGGACCATTCTGGGGTTCAGGGCCATCCAGCTGCCAAGCTGACATGAGCGACTGTGTCCTGGGGCCCTCCTGCCTCTTCCCTGCGTTTCCCCCCTCTCTGTGCTCAGATCCCCGGTTCCCAGGACCTGGTCAGCGACTTCACGCTTCGCTGTACTGGCTGCAGGGCTAGTCCTATGGAACGGGCCCCCGGAGGGGCAGAGCTGTACTCGGAAAGGAGTGACTTTTTCCTGGAGTGAGGGCCTCTGAGTGTGGCCATGGCAACTGCGCGAGCAGTCACCGTTCGGTTACTTACGGAAATGTCAAGCTTTTCCATCTTGGACCTGGTGTTCCTCTTGATGGACATGATGAGGATGATAGCCCCGTCTATGCTCATGGGGTTCAGGAACAGCTGTGGGAAGGGGAGCAAGACGGGGGGAGGCTGAGATGGGGACCGGGGAGGCTGGCTCGGGGCCCAGGTTCCACTTCTCTCCATCAAGTGACCACCTCTTTCTCCCATCCAGACTTCTTGGTAAGCACTTGGCTCCCTGTCTGTCTGTCTGTCCAATTGTCCATCTGTCTGTTCACCTTACTGTTCAGCCAGCCACCCACCTATTCATCAGCCCACTGCCCATCTCACTGCCTGCCCATCCATCCATCCATCCATCCATCCATCCAACAAACATTTGCTGGGGCCTGTTGCATGCCAGTTGCTGGGTTACAAGCAGAGGGGGGCACAGACAGAAATGAGAAGAAGGTCTCCGCCGTCGGGTTAGCTTGTGTTCTAGACGTGGACACCGGCGAACGAGTAAATGGCATCAGAAGTACGGTGATGACACGGGCGGGGGGCCACACTGGTATTTGTAGACCAGGAAGAGGGCATCCAGTACAGAGGGGAGGACAGCCGCACAGAGGCTTGCGGGACACATGGAGGTTGGGGAGGTACGAGGAAGGGGCGGGGCGAGGGCAGGACCAGAGGAGAGAACAGATGCAGCCCAGAAGACTGGGGTCCGCAAGCGCCAAGGAGCAGAGGCGTCTGGGCGGCAGCAAGTGTTCCGCGAGCAGGAGCTGAGAAAACGAGGCCGCAGAGCTGGCCAGACCCCAGAGGGCCTCGTGGGCCCCGCTAAGGACGCAGGGCATTGTCCCAGTGGTGCCGGGAGCCACTGAGGGTGGTGTGGAGGCTCACAGCTGGGAACGTGGAGCCCGTGGCTCTGCTTACTAGCTTTCTGGCCTTGCGTGAATTCCCCGACCACTGCGCACCCATCACCTCGGGCTGCCCTGAGGATTCAATAAATCAGTGCAAGCAGAGTGTTCAAAAGAGCACATGGTAGATAGAAAGCAGCCAATGAACGTTAGTGGTTGTTATTGAAAGCTCTCGGTCGGGCGGTTTCATGATGAGACAGGCTGAAGCTTTTATGGAGGACCTACTACGTGTCAGCTGCTTCCCAGGCTCTGATGTATTCCAGTGAGAAAAGACAGGCTTGCGCCCTGCCCTCACCGGGCTTAGCACCTACAGTCCTTTGCCTGCCTCACTTCCCGGGGGGACTCTTTTCCCAAGATTAGGGAAAGGAGGGCAGGGGCGGCGTGCGGAGAGTCATCATTCCGGTGGCCAGATTGACGTGGCCGCCACCTGTGATGCAACTGAGTTATAATTTAAGCTTTTCTCTTTCTCACTTTTAAAAACATTTTAAATAATTAAAATATATTTACTATGTTTGGTCACTGTAGAAAAAAATTGAAGTAGGCCAAAAAACATGTTAAACTTCCCTATATCCTCATACCCGGGAACAGCCTTTGCCGCCCTTCTGTTTGGTGACTTTTCAGTCTTTAAAATTCAGGGTCTCTGAACTTCCCTTGGCTGCACTGGCCACTGAGGCGGGGTCCGTCTCTCTTCTCTGAGTTCCGCTGGGTCCGGGCCCTGCCAGGACGGAGCCTCTGCTGTGTCGGTCACGAGAGGGCCGGCTGGACTGGGCTGGGCTGGGCTCCAGTCACCCCGTTCCCTCTCCTGGTCAGAGGCTGACTGGCTTCCTTTGTCACCTGAGCAGCTCTAAGGAGGTTGTCCTCTCCGATGGCAGCCCATCCTCACTGATTCCTGACTGCCATTCTTCTTACACCAGGGCCCTCCCTCGCCTCTGGGGTCGCTCTGAGCCACCCCCACATCTCCCAGGAGTCAGAGTCGCCATGGAAAGGCCAGGTCGCCCAGGCTTCCCTCTGCCCACGGTTGGCCGTGGGGCCCCAGCCAACCACTGAGCCCCAGGCCTCCCTTCTGACAAGCGGACCCCACTCCGGGGGCTCGGGCTGGGAGGAAGGAGGCAAATCACCTGGCATGGGACCTGGCTCATGGGGGCAAAGGGGAGCTTCATCTTTCATCCGTTTTCCGACTTCCCAGAGGCTTCTATGTTATAAACTCACATTTATAAGCAAATTAATCTAAAATGAAATACGTATTCATTCATTTAATACAGTTTCACTGGCACCTACTATATGCCCAGCACTCTGCTGGGCACAAGGGGTATGTGTAACAACAGGCAACACTCAGCACGGTCTCTGTCCTCATGACGCTCTCACACTCGCCGGAGACAGACCGTCATTCACACGAGCCTGTCAAGAGAAATCCTGTCCAGTTCCCCGTGGTGGGGTACACAAGGCTCTGTGGCTCCAGCAGGGGTCCCCGAGGAACTGTTGCTGGAGCTGCGCTGGGCGGCAGGGAGCAGTTACAGCCGATGGGGGACAGCAGCCGGGGAGAGAGAGCGCCGCAGGTCCTCTGGGCAGGCGCGAGCAAGGCTCTGGCAGGACTGGACGAGGGAGGTGACAGGAGGCCCTGAGGCCTTGGGTGGGAGAGAGGGGAAGCACGGGGTAAACTGAGGTCAGGGAAGCACACAGGGCTGAGGGCACTGGAGTTGGACAGCAGGTGCCCATGCGGGGAGGGTCTGAGCTGGAGGGCAGTTGATGGGGGAAGGGGGGAAGTCAGGCTGATGCTCAAGGGCTTGAAGGAGACTCCGAGAGGAGGAAGGAGGACCAGTCAGTTATGAGATGACTGCTGTGCATGCACCGGTGAGGGCAGAGGGCGGCGCTGGGTTCACAGCAGGAGACAGCCAAGACTACGTGTGCAGGTGCAGCGCAAGGGGGATTTTCCCGGTGATTTTCTCTAGCCACACCCAGTGCTGCCATCACCCTGCTGCCGCCATCCCGACAAACACACACACACACAATGCACACACATGGACGAACATAGAGATGCACGGACACACACACAGATGCACATGCAAAACAGCTGTGCCTAGCTATGTGAAGACTTTACCTTCAGAACTTTGATGCTCTCATTCATCTCCAGCCCCCTGCCGATCTTGGAGATCCCTTCATTGCTGATGTTATTGGCGCTGATGTCCACGTAGGCCAGGGAGCTGTTGAGTCTGAGGGCCTCCCCGAAGGCCGCAGCCCCCTCGTTCCCAAAGCCATTCATGGAGAGGTCCAGGGTCTTCAGGGTCACGTTAGACTCCAGGGCGAGGGGAGAAGAGCACCAGCACCAAGGTTGCATTCTCCCCGCTGCTGGCACCCCACCTGGGAGCTCGGTGGTCCCCGGGAGAGGGGTCTTTGCCAGATCTGTCTGGATCCCTCTCAGCTGGGCTCAGAGGCTCAAGTATTCCTGAGACTCATTCCTTTTGGGGTCTAATCCTTCCTTACCCCATAATAAAATTTCTCTCTTGAAAGACCCCCATAGATGCCACATAGGACCCAGCAGGGTGAATTTTCCCAGATAGGATTTATACCAAAGAGTAATGAGCATCCAGGCATTGTGAGAGCGAGACCAGCTATGCGAGGAGCACTCGACCGGAGCTCAGTACAGCCCCGTCAGTGGCGACCACCAGGGAGAGGTTGGAGAGGGTGGGGCGGGACCTCTCCCCACACCCCCACCCCACCCCGGGGCTCAACAAGCCCCTCCCGGGGAGCGCCTTACCCGGAGGCCGCTGCACAAGGCCACCGCTGCCCGTGAGCAGAAGTGATTCCAGCTCAGATCCAGCGTCACGAGGCCTACGTTGAGGGCTGGGGGAGAAGCGGGGCCCACTGAGCCTCCCCTGCGTCCCAGAAAACCCGCTCTCGGGGCTGGCGGAACCCACGCCATGGGGATGAGGGCCACTCAACGGTGCATGTGAAGAGGGAAACACCGAGGTAACACTCTTCACAAACACAAAATCACTTACGTACAGGCTCATAAGATGATTTCCAGGGATGGTGACGATGAAGTAAGACAATCGCACTCGTGCATTGGAGGTGGCAAGCAAGTTAGTATTATTTATTTGGCAAAGATCATCTGGTCACAGGTACCTTCCTGTTAAAATCCGTGTGACCCTATCACACAGCGCTGTCAGCTCTGAGACTCTTCCTAAGGAGACCGGACGTGAGAAGAGCTACATGCTTGTAGACGTTCGCTGTGGCATCGCTTAGAAGAGTAAGGCTGGTGACTCACAGGGGACGGGTGAGGTGCTTGTAAACAGCCACAGTGTGGAATGTTCTGTAACCATGAAAGTGGGTGGAGGTGGCCTGGAAACAGGGGTTGCGTGGACCCAGGGAGGTTGTGACGGGCATAGCACTGGCGCCACCTAGTGGTGTTTCCACGGAGACCCACGGGAGCAGTGGTGGCTCCAGAATTTCTGTCCTGGAGAGCTTTAGGTACGTGATCCACTGGAAGTCATGAGGCGTCAGGCTTGCCTAGAAGCCAGGTCAGCAGAGACATTGCACTTTTAAAAAAAGTTTAAAGGCACTTTTGTTTACATGCTGCATGGGGTTGGCAAAACATCCTATGGAAACAGATCGTTGTTATTTTTGTTCGGCGAGGGCAGATGTGCTGGGGACACCACGGAAGCGGAGGCTAAACCACCACTGAAGCTTTGCTGAGTGGCAGGAGCTTCATTGGGCCTCAGGCCCAGGAAAACGCCTTGCTCTGTCTTGTTGTTGTTTTTCGTTTTGTTTTTAAGTGGACAACGCGTTGGGCACCGATTGGGTCTCTCTCTGCATCGGCCACCAGGGTGTACTTTCAGTAAAGCACATGGTACCTTGCACTATTTTGAGAACAAACTTCCTCCCTTTCTCTCTCTCTCTCATCTTCTTTTTTTTCCCCCTTATTTCCTATTCTCGGCCAATTCCCTTGCTTAGTTATACCTTGCACACCTGCGTTTCTTAAATGGCCACAAAATTTACACTTTCATTCTGTTCTTACAGCTCTCTCGCCGTGTGACCTCGGGCGGCTTGCTCGCACCGCCCCCGCCCCCCCCCCCCCCCCGACCTCTGTTGTCTTACTGGTGGCACAGAGGCGTCACCCCGTGCAAGCGTTGTCGTGAGGACCGGTGTGCAATGCCGAGCATGATGCTTGTCACATGGGAATCGCTTGCTACTTGGTAACTTTAATAATAATAATTTTAGAAGCTGTGTATACAGTGTGATGATTAGTGCTTAAAACAGAATGTTGTCTCCCTTTGATTTCATTTAAAAATTAAGAGTTTTTAAATGTTTGAAAGTAAGTTTTCTGGCAGCGATGCAGACTGCCCACAATTCTTTTATACGTTGTTCTTCCCCTCCTACGTGCGGCTTTGTACCTGCTCGCCTCTCCTCACACCTGCCGGCCTGAACCCCGCTCTCAGCTGGACACCTGGCCTCATCTTCAGGCAGCAGTGGGGCGGGAGAGCTGCGTCCTGCCTGCCTCTGCCCCCCGGCCATGCGGGCACCCACTCTCGAGCTCTTCCCTCTTTCGGTGGATGAGAGGTCCCTACCGCTCTCTGAGGCCATCTTTATCCTGGGGGCCACTGTTTGAGTCTCTTCAAGGACTTTGCTCCTGTAAGTGTCTCCTTCTTTGGCACCATCAGCTCCTTCTTTCCCTCTCGCAGCATCTTCCATCCTTAAAAACTTTCCTGTGCTCCCTGCCACCTCATCCTTCTGTCCAGCCTTGTCCCATCTGAGCTTCTGGAGTTGCTGATGTTGCCGCGCCCCCTTCTCTGCCTCCCCTTTGCAGCTCAGCCCACTCAGTCCACTCGGGTCGGGTCTCCATACTCGCTCACATCGCCAGCACAGTGCTGGACCCCACGGAGCACTTTCCCCTCCTTGAAATGCTCCCTTACGTGGCCCCTGCTACTCAACTGACCACGCCTTCTCAGGCTCGTCCTTCCCTTCCGCGACACCTAAAAATGCGGGAGTGACCCGGAATCAGTGTGATGGCCACCTGCTCAGCTCCACCCACACGGCTGCCTAGATGCCCCCACTGTGCCCCATGGTTTTAAACACACCCATTTGCCTTTGGCTCCCAAACGTGTCTGTCCAGCCCTGGCCGGCCTCCAAACTCGCACAGCAAACCGCCTACCCGACATCTCCACGTGTGTGTTCCACGGGCATCACACACACAACATGGCCCCCCAAAAAACTCTCGGCCCCTCAATCCTGTTCCTCTGGACCCCTGACTCCCCGAGTTTTCCCCGCCTAAGTAAACGACACCGCCATCCAACCGGGATCTGAAACAGGATGACCGTGAGTCTCTCCTTCTCTTCCGCTTCCCCTCACTCTTCACGTCAACAAGTCCTTTAGGCTTTACAGCGGTGCCTCGGAACTCGTCACTAAGGTGTTCCGGAGCTGGTGACGAGTGCCGAAACTGGCGAGTACCGAGGGGGCGACGAGTGACGAAGCATTTTCTCTCGTGGGCAGCGTCATGGCTCATGCAGGTCCCAGCGAGTTTGACAAGTCCTGAGCAAACACTGAGTGCTGAAACATCTTTTTCTCATCGAAATGTGACGAGTGCAGGGTTTGATGAGCTCTGGAGCTGATGAGTGCCGAGGTATGAGTGCTTCCAAAACACACTGTGAATCCACCTGCTCTGCCCATTACCACTGCTCCCGTAGCCCGAGCTGTTACCTTGTCTTGCCTGGAACCTCCTAATCGGCGTCCCTCCTTACGTTTTTGTTCTCCTCAGTTGCATTCTTCAGGGAGAAGCTCGAGAGCTACAGACCAAACCACGTCATTTCCCACCTTCACAGCCTTCAACGACTCCTCACCACACGTAGACTACAACCCAGACTCTGCGCATGTCTGAGTCCACAAAGACGGACATGACTGGCTGCAGGCCACCTCAATGACCTCTTCTACTCTCTGCCCCTGTGCCCTCTGCTTCAGCCACACTGCTCCCACCTCCCCGCCGGGCTCCTCACCCCTGCCAGCCTCCCCCTGCCAGCCTCTGTGCTTTCTGCCTGCAGTGTCGAGCTCCTGGGCCCTAGCACAGCTGTGTCCGCAGTCACAGTCAGGTTTCAACAGAAAGCTGCCTTCCTGGGGGGGGGGGTGCTTTCTCTCACCACCCCACCTCAATTAGCACCCACTCCCCACCGCTAAGAATGTCCTGCCTTTGTCTACTTGTTTCTGTAGGCATGAACATTTAGGCTCTTTCTATTTTCTTCTTTTATAACAAGTTTGCAATGAACCTCTTTAGACATTTGTGTGTGTGTGTGTGTGTGTGTGTGTGTGAGAGAGAGAGAGAGAGAGAGAGAGAGAGAGGCAGGCAGCATCTCTGAGACCTATAGAGGTGAATTGCTGCATCCTAGAAAACATGCATGTTCAATTTCACTAAACACTGTCAAATCGCTCTCCAAAGTGCCTTTACCTAGCAGCTTCTGAATGTGATTTCTCCCCTGTGTTTACCGCACTGTATATTCTCTGGCTTGAAAATGTTGCAGCTTTGGTAGATGACAAGGGGGAATCTTTTTCTTGTTTTAGTAATGACATTTTTCTGATTGCTAATGAGACTGGGCATTTGACTTTTTTTTTCTTTTTCACTGTCCATATGCCTTGGCCATTGTGAGTTTTTTTTTTTTTTTAAGTGTTTGTCATTGATTGATCTGGAGGATCTTTTATCAACATTCTGAACACTAATCTTTTATATTATACAAACGCTGCAAATATCTACCCCCCCGACTGTTGTCTTAACATCACCACAAAATATCTTTTACTATCCTCAGTTTTAAACCCATTGTGGTCAAACACAAGAATCGTTTTTGTTGCAGTTTCTACTCATTGTGCCTGTGTAATAACCATTAGCCTCCCTGAGGTCAGCAAATTATTTCACTCTACACATTCTCCTAATCATTTAAAAGTTTTACTCGCCACATTTAAAACATATTTCGGGTGTAGTTTACATCACTTGCATAATTAGAATGCTCAATGACAATAATAACAGGAGACGCAGCCCAACAATGGATCGTTTGCCAAGTTCCCCTCCTTTGCCGGCCCCTTCCCTCAGTGGCTACTCACCCAGCATCTGTCCCAGGAACTCTCCTCCCTTGTCAGAGAACTGGTTGTGACTGAGGTCAATCTCCCGAATTCGGTAATTGGCCTGAGAAAAAAAACCAGTGGGGAGAGAGGTGATGAGGGTCTTCCATGTGACTGCAAATGCCTCCGTCAGCCCAGGTCAGTGTGATGGAGGGCTCCCATACACCCAAAGTGTGGGCAAATAGGGTTATTATCCTGCAGACAATTCCTTGTTCATTTTCTGGTGACTGTTGCTGACACCTGGGAGACTTTATTGCCAGCCAAACAGCTCTACCATTTGCTGTGGCTTTGGCCGGGATCAGCAGAGTGCCAACACTCACCAGCTCCCAAAACCATGCAACTGGCCTCATTTCCCTCTAGCCAGCAGTGCCCCCGGGGCCCCAGGATCTCCAGGGACATCTCCCACGTGGCTTGGCTGTACCCATGCCCTGCTTCTCACCGACAGGGCCGTGCACAGCAGCTCTGCCGATTCATCCCTGAAGCCATTTCCTGTAACGGAGGAGGGCGTTAGGAATTCTCTCCAGGCCAGGGCTCCCTTGCCCTCCCATAGCCTAGCAGTGCCTGTCCCTTCCCTTCGGAACCATCAGATGTAGAAAAGGTGGCAAGTACTGAGAGCAAAAATGTGGACACAGAAGAAAACAGGAGGAAAAAGGGCAACTATTTACCAGCCCCTTTAACGTCCCCTTCTTGCTCTGCTGTGGCTGTCCAGGAAATTCCAGGAGTCGGTACCGTGGGCATTACTGGCAGCATCAGACCTCGGGCCTCGAGCCTAAAGCCCGTGATCTTACAAAAATGCTATCGCAGTCTAAGCAGCAGAGGCAGACCAGAAGGGGACACGTGCCGTGCTTGCCTTTGTGTGCACAAATCTAAGGGGTGCCGAAAGATCTCAATGAATAATATCCTAACATTTAAAAAATAAAAATCAGTGCAAAAACATTTGTGATGAACGGCGCTTTCAAATTTTAAATAAGGGCGGGATCTGACTCCACCCTCGCATAGCTCAGCCTCACTCACCTTACCCCAATCTGTTCCTTTTGGATCGTGTTTTTAAAGTGTTGATGTTTTATTCCTTGCAGAGAATTTTTGTATCAATTTTAACTCTTAAAATATTGTGTCAAGATTTATTTTATTTAGCTACTGAGCTTTTGGGTGCCCCTGAAATTGCACAACTGCAAGGTGTGTGCCTCCCTCATCTTACCCCAGCCCTGGCCCTGCTGAGCCGTCTAAAAGCTTTCTGGGAAATCCGTGACACAGAGACTTATCGCCAAAATTCTCATCTGCACCTTTAAAAACCTTTGTATCTCTAGCATAAACAGGACTTGGTACATAGCAGGTGCTCAATAAATGCTGAATGAATGAATGAATCAATATATCCACCGAAATACAAGTACTTCTTTGGTCGTATCTGGTACCAATGCAATAAAATGACATAAAAAGCTAGTCAATGTATAACATTAGGTAATTTTAGAATTCACTAATTCAGGAAACACATCAGCTGTAATTCGTTCAAATACTGTTGCTCAGTTGTTCTCTTCCCCTTCTGGAACTCTTATCAGCTACATTGAGTCTATTCGTTCTTGTACATTCTTTTGTCTTTTACATTCTCTCTTTATCTTCTCTACTGAAAAATTAGATAAAACATCCTTTTACCTGTCTTCCAGGTCACTAATTTTATTTACCTACATCTAATATGCTGTTGAATTTATCCATTGAGTCTCTAATTTCAAGGGTTATATATTTTTCATTTCTGTAAGTATTATTTGGGGAGATCTTTTAAAGAGTTATGTTTTTATTTGTGTTTTCTTAATCAGTTAAACATAGTTTGTAGTTAAGTGCAAGGTATCTGTTTGCTTGCCGTTTAACCAAATTAAAAGTGTTCCTGTGCTGCTTGGGGATGAGGTATGTGGTCACTCGATGTGGAGTGTGTGTATCTGATCATTTATTTCCTGAGGTCCTTGAGAGCCCAGTGCTGTCACTTGAATCTGATAACTCTCACCGTGTTCTGTTTCTCATTTTGCAATTTTGGACTGTGAGCCCATCCTTAGGACAGCTTTATCTGTGGGAATCCCAAGCAGCGTGGAGTGTGGGTCGAGGGGTTGGAGGTGTTATGTTTGCTTCTGCTGCATGCTTTCGGGTATTACCAGCAAAGGATCACTTACATGTTAATTTCTTGTCTTAGGGATTGGTGGGGGGGCCCATTTGGTGTAAACTGAAACCATAAACCTGAGAGAGGGCGGGTCTGTGGGTACTAGAATTCTCAACTGACTTTTTGTTTTCTGTAAGATAGATAGTAAACTAACTAAAAATAGGTGTCCAACAGCGGGTCAGGTAGAAATAAATGCCATTAAGGAAAACCAAGCAGGGAAACAGGATAGAGATGACATCTGAGCCGAGGCGTGAATGGAGAGTCCCTGAGTCACCCAGACATATCTGGGGGAGGAGACTTTAAAGCGGAAGAAGGGATGCTGCCATGTGGATCATGAGTGGATCGAGGAGGAAATCCAGGAGGCCAGGCTGGTGGTGGTGGAGCGGGGTGAGCGTGACTGGAAAGGCTCAGCAGGCGCAGGCGCAGTGTGCTAGTCTCTGACGTCAGAAGGGCCAGGTCTGGCTCAGCTCAACTTTGATTCTCTCTGCTCTTCACCTTCTGCTTGTCTCCTTTTCATTCCCAGCGTCCTCTCCCTCCTACTTCATAGGCTCACCTGAGAGTTGAAGGTTCAAGAGCGAAGAGGAATTTCTCTGGAGAAACCGTGAGATGATTCTGGCTCCCTCGAAACCAAGGTCATTGTTGGAAATATTCTAAGGGCAAGAAAAACAGTTATGTGTGTACAAATCCCAACAAAGGTACTTCATCAGCAAATGACACCAGGGTGTGGCTGGCTCAAGACCTACACTAAGGCAGTGGGGTCTCAGTGGGGAGGGGGTCCTCGGGTGAAAGGATGGGGAGGGTCAGCGTGGTCCAGAGGGAGAAGAATGATAGGAACACAGCTGTTGCACCGGCTCGCTGCAAGGCCCTCGAGCTGGTCCTCGTTTCCTCTGAAGTTAGCTTCAATGATGCCCCACTTCCCCAGTTTAGCTCTGGTGCTTTAGATCAGCCCACCCTAACTTTTTCGAAACCCAGGTCAGCCATATTGGAAGAGTTTGGCATAAAACAAAAGTGAGTTTAGAGTAAATCATCACTTGCAGATTCCATTTACTGATTCAAGAACGGAATCACTGTGCTGAGACGGCTAGTGGGAGGGACTTAATATAAACCAGCCATTATTATCTTACTTTCTTATTGTGGTAAAATAGACACAGTACAGCATTCACCACCATGACCATTTAAAATGTGCAGTTTACTGGTCTTTAGCATATTCATGTCACGTGACCACCACCATCCTCTGTCTCCAGGCACGTTGTACTTCATATAATTATTTCACGTGTTTATTTTTAAAATTTTACTTTAAGGCAACTGCACAGAAGTAAGTTAATCAATTTCCGGGTTTATGAGGTCCAAACAGAAGTGCTTTCTTAGGGTTCCCTGCAGCCACGGGGAACATGGCCCCCCTGGCCAGCCTCTGAGAAGTCAGTTCTAGAGGAGAGGGATTCCTGGACTCATGGCAGAAAGCCTGGAGGCTGGCCCGGGCCCGGGCCTGGGCTGGGGCCTCTGGCTTGTCTCCAGTGGGCTCTGAGACCCCGGGTGTGGTGGTGGGAGCCAGTAGGGCAGGCATAGTACCAGCTCCTGGAGGTAATAGTTCTCTTGTAGCATCTCCACCAGGCTCAGGACGCCCTCCTCCATGATACAATTGTCTTCCAGCTCCAGGGAGATCACAGTCGTGTTGGACTGCAGCCACGAAGTGGGGGTGGGGAAGGGGTGGGGGCGGAGAGAAAGACGGAGGTGGTTGGTGACTTAGTCAGTTCCTTGACCTGGCCCGGAACCTGTCTCCTCTCCTGATTATCCCAGCCATGTCACGGGTTATGGAGATGCAGGCTAGCAGTTTCAGAGGAGTAGATAGGAACAGGAGAATGAGGCATAAGAGCTGAGCTATCCCACTGATGGCTAGGACAATACAGGGTGGGCAAGACTAGGTTTCCGCTGTGAGTCCATGAAACACAAGTTTATTCTTGTGTTATTATTATTTACTAATTATTATATTATTTATTTGTAGAGCATTACAACTGTGAACCTACCTTTGCCCACCCCTGTATGTTTATATTTTATATTTTAATGCATATTAAATATGCATTATATTTTAATATGCATTTTAATATGCATATTTAATGCATATTAAAAATATGCATTATATTTTAAATGCATATTTTCTAGGGCAATATGCTTATCCTGGGCACCTCCCCCTAAAAGGGCTCTGCGGGGGAACTTAGGAGAGGGATATTCAAACAAAGCCCTGAAAGTAAGAGGTACAAGGGTGAGCAGAACATATTTTAATTATTTATTTAGCCTTGAGGAGAGAGGCCTGCGACCTACTCCAAGATTGAGGAGAACCTGACACATTTAATAAGAGTGTGTAAGCATAAGGCTTTAGACATAAAGCATTCGCTGCGCCTGCTTCCGTCAGAAGCCTTTCTTCTAGTTTAGGCTTCAGGCGAATCAGGTACCCTCTTTTAGTTAGGACGCTGCCTCAGGTTGTTTGGAAGGAGCTGGACTTAGATCTTAAATATCTAGAGTCAAGCTCATCTGCCTTCCCACAGGGAGGACACGGCTGGCCTTGAAGCCTGAGGGCCTGGGGTTAGCACTAACCAGAACTTGTGTTCCTCCCTTCCCTGCCTTGCACCCAGTGCAGAAAAGCACAGAGAACAGACACATCTTTGCATGTGAGCATTTTCAAAGCACACCATGCAGCGAGGGCAGTAGCCAGCAGTGAGGAGCCCCAGCATCAGAAAAAGGGAGAATGCAATGGCGTGAGTTCCTGAAACAGGGGATGGTCTGCCCAGGGCCTTCATGGAATGTCTTCTGGCCTCAGCCATCCGGGATGGGCAGCATTCCTCTGGCTCAAAGTCCAGGGAGATAACTCAGGTGGCCTCTAGTCTAGGTGTCACCTAGTGGTGTCCAGAAATGGGTTAAATGACCACTTCCAGAGTCACTCTGGGGACCAAGCACAGTGTGTGGTGCATTAGGCAGCTAATCACAGAGTCCATCCACATGCATCTCACATGGTCGAGTATGTACTGGTCACCCTCTGTGCTGACTGTGGGGAAACAAGATGACCAGAGAACATCGCTGCTCTGCAGGGCCTTGCACTGCACCAAGTGCAAGGGCACGGAGACAGGCAGTTGAGGAATAGACGAGAAGATGTGTGAAATAAGATCCCTCCTTTCAGGGTGCTTTTCCTCTATGACAGGTAAATGCAACACATGGGAAGTGAAACAGTACAAAAGATAAATAAAACTGAGTCCACCAGAATGTCATGGTAATTCATCGTCAAACGAGTGATACAGAGAATCAAAGTAGAAAAAACTCTCCCCAAACAGGAACTGCTGTCGCTAAGAAACACGTGGCTCACATCCTGAGAGGATTTCATTATCATCCTTTTTATCCCATGTAACTTGGGAGGTAATGGTGCATTCCTAATACTTCATTAATCAGTCTTTCAATGCTCAATAAATTTCAAGATGGCTTTGTTCTTTGTCTGCTCTTCCCGTCCTTTTCTCTCCCTCCCCAGAAAGCAGTGCACTCTCAAATTTTATATAACTTCTTAATGGGGGTGAGCTAAATGCAAATGCTATTATAGTTCCAAAAATGAGCAAGTGCTTTTTTTTAATTGAACTTTCTCTTTACTCTCCTAAGTGAACAAAAAATGTAGTTCTGACATTATGTTAAATTTTCTGTTTTCCTGGGATAGGAATCAGCTCTGTATATAATCAATTAGAATTATATAAGGCTATGATGAATTCAAGGTCAAGTCCTGGTTCACCCATGCCAAGCCAAGAGAGAACATTATTCCTATGGAAAAACATGATCCACTCTACAGTGTGATCCTTAAGAATTATAACTTTCCAAAAGGTAGACATTGAATGGAATGGCTCAGTGGTGAACCCATTTACAGCAAAGGTGAGCTTTGGAATTGTGACCCAGGCTGACATTTTATATTTTGCTCTTGATTTAACACATAGCCCAGCCACTTTTGGGGGGCCCACGGGCTGGTGCCTTTGTTTCCCAAAGAGAAAAGGGCATACACTTCCAAGGCCCAGGTCTCTAACAGCCTCCTTCCCGGTACCTAATGGGGAGCCCATGCCTGTTGGGGAAATTGGCAGTCAAGCAGAAGCCTATGGCGGGATGGGCATAAAGGATGCAATATAGGGTCCCATGGGGGTCTCTCTGACTCTTGGGCCTACCACCCTGTCAAGCCCCGGCCTCTGCCAGGCTTCATGTGCCTCCACTGGCATGCTCACCACCAGGGCTATAGCAATAGCCTTGGTACCGTTGGGGCCCAGACCATGGTGGCTGAGGTTCAGGAAGGCCTCTTCCATGTTCCGGAGGAAGTAGGACACGGGCACCACGCCCACCAGCTTGCAGGCCTCTGTGTACAGCTCCCTTTGTCCAGTGGTGAACAATCTCTCAGCATCTGCAGACAAAGAAGCAAATGGGAGGAGTGGGGTTTCTCTTCTGCCTTTGCCTTATCTCTCTTCTAACCCCAGGCCCGTTCACTTCTGAGGATCTGTCCCTATGGGCGTGTGCTTAGGAGGCAACTCCAATTGGAAAGTGAGCCAGCAGTGGTGGGGGGAGACTCCAAGTCCAGAAAGCCTCCAATGAGTGCTTCCTTTGGGGAAGAAGCAAGGCCCTGGGGTTTAGGCTTCAAGAGAAGGAGCCCCCCCTCACCACCCCCCCCCCCCAGCCCCTACCTTCCTTGGTGGCCGATCACCAAGGATGAGTGAAGGCCCAGGTCTCCTGCTCACCTGGGGGCAGCTCTGAGAAGCCAAACAGACACAGAGCTGGTGCTCTGTGGCTGGTGCTGATGGTTGAGGGAGTCTCCGTTTCAGTTTTAATTTTGCTACGACAGTTCAAGTGTGAGCCGTAACTGAAGCATTACTAAAGATTTAGAGAAGCGTGAAGAAGGAGAGGGTGGGCTTCTCAAGGTGGCAAATCAGTGCCAGTTGGAGAGGCCCCCAAATCGGCCAGAAACAAAGAAACTCACGCGAGTGGGCATTCTTCTTTCCAGGGCTTCTGTGTTATTTTTTTCTCCAAAGAGGACCGTCATCTCTACCAATGACAAATCGAGCCCCAAATCACACACAGCTGATCGACGCTAGGGCCAGCGACAGAATTAGAGCCTTCACTTCTCGATTCCAACCTCTCGGAGCCTTTGTTTTGCAGGTTGTAGACCAGCCGGGCCTGTCTGTGGGCGGGCAGCGGGCCGTGGGCCTGCCTGGATTCCGGATGGCCCCGCAGCTGTGTCCTCATGAGGCGAGGCCCGTTGATGGCAAGCTTTCCCGTGGCCAGCTGGGGTCCAAGCCTGCATCTGTTTTCCTTTGGGTCCCGGAGCCTTGGGCCAAGCCACCCCAAACATTTCTGAGACAGACAATGGGACCTCTGTTGGTGATAGGACAACAGCTTGACAAGGAAGTCGATTTTGCCGGCACAGCTACCAACTGGCCTTCTCTTGGCGGTGGTTGTAGAGCAGGGTTTCTCACACTTGGCACTGCTGATTGACATTTGGTGTCGGACCATTCTCTGTTCTGAGGGGCTGTCAGGTACCACGTAGGGGAGTTAGCAGAATGCCTGGCCTCTGCCCATGAGACGCCAGTAGCAACCCCCACCCCAGTTTGCCAAATGCCCCCTGGGGTGCAAAATCACCTCTAAGTGAGAACCACGGTTGTGTAGGAGAAGTAGCGTGAGGTGGGTGAGCAACTTCTGCTCCCTTCTCTGCCTCTTTTGTACCCTCACACCAGCTTGCTATTCCTATGTGGGATCAGGCCTCAGGCTGCCCCAAGAAGCCCTTCCTGCCCCCATCCCAGCATCTTGGCATCAATAGCAGGGGCACCAAGAATGGAGATTCCCAAGTTTCTACCTCAGCGCAGAGTTGCCACCAAATTTTATCACTAGAGGTTCTTGTTCGCCAAGGCAGCATAGCTAACCCCCAGCTGTGTCGTTGGCACTAATTCAGCTGTTTAATTCTGCTGACCGCTCCTAGCTGCATTCATTCAACTAGGGTTACATTTCAGAGGCAGCTTGTAACACTGGTATCACTGGCAGGGAGTGGGGGATAAGGAGGGGAATGAATGGAATCAGGCATCTTGGACAAAATATTCAGGGTTGCTACCTGCTGCCTCTTCCAACCAGGTAAAATTCAGTGTTGAAAGCAACATTAGCAACAGACTTGCAGTGGAAAAGAAGTTGGAGAAAGAGCAAGAAGATGCCCAGGGGGCAGGAGGGAGGTCTGTGTATGGGCGGAGTATGTTGACAGCAGCCCAGGTTAGGAACTGACTGTATAAAGACACTCGACAGTTGAATTTAGCAGAGCACCCTCCCCTGCATCTCCACAGCCTCTGCTCCCTGTCCACCACCCAGCCGTCAGAACACGGGAGAGGGAGGGTCACGAGGCTAGACTCAGCCTGGGAGGTCCGAGGCTGGCCCATCAGGTGTGGCCAATGTTGTTCTTGCCTCGCTTCACGAGCGTTCTCTGTGGCACTTCCCTTCTTGGGGAAGCTGGGAGGGAGAGAAGGGAGAAAGTGTTCCCAGTACGAGAGTCCTTGCTGCAGCTCAGGCAGTCCCCCCACCCCACGACCCCCCATACCCATGCACTTGGATTTATCATGAGGCTCTCAAGTAGTGGAACAAGAACTCTGATGGGGGTAGAGGAAAGTCTCCGGGATGCAGGATGGGCCACAGACACTCCAGGGGCTCCTGGAACATGGAATGCAGGAGGGAGATGGGCAGGGCAAGGCAAACTTGGGATCAGCAAACATTGGGAAGCTCTTGGTGGACTTGGGTGACTCCTACAATGTCTTTGAGCCTCGGCTCCCTCTGTTAAGGCGGGCAATAATGCCTACCCCCTGGGACTATGGCGAAGGTGACGCAAGATGCCGCATGTGGAAACACATGGAATGCCTGAAATCCCTGTTCATTTACTGGTTCAGCTTTCAACAAGCTGATGTGACAACTCCGCTCATGAGCCAGGCCGCAAGCATGGGCAGCGGTCACCATGGCCACCAGCAGCCACCGCCTCCAGCCTTGAGGAGGACGTGGCACAAAATCGAGCACAGACGTTTCTACCACCTGCCTCCTCCTGCACAACAACCTGCCAGGCAGAGCCGTGGCCAGCTGGGGAAACCGGGTGTCGGCAGCTTCTGAGGAAGGAGGCGAGCTGCCCCCTCCCCGTCCGAATGCCCACTCTCACCTTCGATCTCGAGGTCTGTTTCTGAGCTCTCCTGGGCTGGTTTCTCTTTATCGACAGGCGGGGGTGGTTCGGCCTCACAGTAGAGCATTTCTTCGCTGCTCTGTGGTGCTGGCTGGGCTCCATTCTCCTCTGCAAGGAAAACACATCTCCTTGATTCTGGAAATGAAACCTGCCAGCCTTTCAGGTGGACTCGCCACCGGCTTCCCTCTGCCCCTGTTCCCCTTCTCTGGGTCCCGGGTCCTGGCCGCAGCCTTTGTCCCCCAGCTTCACATGGCCCAGGATGCCAGGGCACTTCATTCTGCAGGCCCTCCCTCCCTCCCGACACTGCTGCCTCCTGGCCGAGTGGTCTATGGGGTTCTGTGCTCCTCTCCCCTGTGTTCTCTGGGGATTTGCTGCCCCATTTCCAGTTTGGGGCCTGCCTTGGACATTGGTTTCTTGCTCCCTCTTTTCTTTCTTACTGGCTTGGGTGGGGTTCAGAGTTGCTTTACTCTTTTGGGGAGAGGATGCGTGCCAATGCCTGGGCTCCCTCACTGGCAGGCACAATCGATGCTGGAGAGGGCAGGCAGGTGGCTCACTCAAATATAAAATCAACTGGAACAGGGGCCGTCCCAGGAATCAAGAGGACTAACTGCACTGCTAAGAATTTGACCTAGCTTCTCCTCCTTTTAAGCCAACATCTATTTGATGACCATAAAGAAAGAAGGGCTTGCAAAATCTCCTTGGGGTTGAAATTCACTGCTCTGATTAAATACATGTGTCCTGAGCTGCCCTCACTCATTAGATGTGGCTTCTCTGCCACTGGACCACTGATCTGGGACCAGCTGCGGGCTCCCAAAAGCCACACAGCAATGTCCAGAGCTCATCCTCCTACATCAGCAGGAAGCAGCGGTTGAGAAAAGACAGGCTGCACTGCCAGGGGGCCTGACAGAACTCGGCCAACTTATCCTGTGGGCGGGCTGAGCATTCGTGGCAGGGGTCCTGCGTTTTGACCACCTAGGTTCTAAGACGGGGGTTCCTGATGAGACTACACAGGTCTGTGTCTTTCTTAGTCCTTGTCCACAGACCCAGGCCCCAACATTTATTTTCCAGACTGTAAGACAAGGTCTGTGTGATACGGGGTGGAAACAGCCAGTGGCCTGACAGTTAGAAGACATGCAGCAGCTTATCCAGCAACTGGAGCTATGGAGAAATGATGACTTTCTGAGTCTTATTTCTTCCTTAGTCAAACAATTTCAGAATTCCATCCAACCATCATTACCAGTGCAATGCTGGTAAATGATGTGTCGTGGTAGTCAATTCCAGTGGTGTAAATGTTCCCAACACAGGAACATTTCAAACTACCAACAGGACATCCACCAGATCAAAAAGTGAAGTTGAAAGTCGGCTAGAGCGGGTAGGGGCCAGTGCCAGCACCACAAGCATTTAACTCTCTCACTCCTTGTCTGGCAAGTCCTGCAGCCAAGTCAACGCAACACATCATCCCGAGTCTCGAGGGCTCTGGGTCCAGGGGCCCACTGTGTGTTATGCTGCGGCGGCCTGGAGGGGCCTGGGTGGTGAGAGATGGGATGCCTTTTCACCTGTTGTCTCAGACTCAAGATGTTCGTCATTGTCCATGGTGCCAGGGCCCTCTCAGGAGCTGCCGCCAGCTTCTCGACACCTTTCCACGGCTTCTCTAAGAAGCACACCTGCCCATTCACCTCTGGCTCAGATTCTGTGCACTCTGCCCTCACATAGACAAATCTTGGAGTTGGAGAGCGGGCGGAATTATCCTTCTATGCCAGCAAGCCCTGGGGAGAGTGGCCTTTGGTGGGGATTGGACGTGTATGGATCTGACCCCAAGTCTGGGAGAGGTAGTTACTTCCCGGAATCATCAGGGAGAGCGGTACGGCTCAATTCCTAAGAGCTCTGTCGAAAGGGTGCCTACCCGCCTGCAACTTTATGACAACGGAGCCACTTTCATTTCATCTGCAACATTCCATGACCTCATGCAGACATTGTGATCCATGTGAGCGGACCTGGCAACAGCAAGCTTGCCACCCTTTTGGTGGCTCTGACAGTCATCTTTCTTCCTATGCCCGCTGTGGCCAAGCTAAGGCTTGGCTGGGATTACGCAGGTGCTGTTGGGGGTGCCTCTCAGTGGCGCTGTATTTCCCTTTGATTCAGGACCAAACCCAAGTCCCTTAATCAGGTGACTGTGAAGAGCCGCCACCATGTTCTTCTCTCAGGGTGGTTGTGCTTCAGGTACAAAACATTTCAGTGATGGGTGAAGTCCGTTTTCTTCTGTCCAGTTCTCCTTCCTTTTTTCTTCCCCTGCTTGGGAGAGTAGCCTCAAGCTCGAGGCAGAAGATCAAAAGCAAAGCACAGCAAACATATGTTCTAGCACGACAGTTTGTTGCAGCCACACCATTGTTCAATCCAAACGACTGGGCTGCCTAACCTGAATCCACTCAACCGTCATTCCCACGCTTGGCTGTTTTCACATGTCTCGGAGGTGAAGTTCACTTGCAGTTTACTGTCAACAGAATCTGGAGGCATGTTTGTTCCTTCTTGATAAGCTTTCAGCACATCAACGGTCAGGTCAGTGACTGGAGGGCTCGGGGACATGACCATCCCTCTTTGCCATGCAGAAGAATGATGAAGGTCTAAGAATTTGTGTAGGGAAAATATAGAACCTTATATAAAAAATCTAAATTTGAGATGTTACTCATTTCTTCAGGCATTCATTCTGAAAAATATTTATAGAGTATCTACCACATACAAGGCACTAAGATAGGCACCGTTGTTGGGAGGGGGTGCAGATGTGACCAAGGCAGGAATCTTTCTGGGCTGGCTACAGATAACACGATAGAAATGGACAGGGCTACCCCTACAATGTGAGGGTCCTAGGCAAATATTTTTGGCAGAGCTCCTGTTCATGTAAACAACTTGAGTCACCCTAAATCAGCATGGTAACACCATTCTAGTGAATCCAATATCGTGTGGTTCCTTGAAAGAAATGTCAAACTGGCCAAGGGAGTGGTCAACTTTTGGCATAATCTGGTAGGCACATGTCCTGGAGACACTCAGATCATCTGGTCAACCACACATTGTTGCAGAGGATAAGAAATTGCCCTTAAAGGAGAGAAACAGGGACCAGAGAGTATATAGATCTTGGTCTTGACTCTGGGTGCTCCTCCTGGTCAGGACCATGTGGTCTCAGGTACAAGAGGTGAATTACAAAATTCAGAGGAAGGTGCTCCAAACAGCTACTTGGCACGGGCACTGCATGCCTGGGTCTAAGGGCAGTGCTGGACATTGATGAGGGTCATGAGGGAGACTCTCTGGGAGTTCAAGGGGGGGTGAGGTTTCTTTATACGGGGGAGCATTCATAGACTCTGGGCAAGTAGAGTTTGGGGGAAAGACATTTCTGGGAATGCAGAATAAAGGAAGGCATCGGAGCCTGGGGTGGGTTTGGGGGAGTAAAGGCATGCAAGTACTAGTGGGGAAATGGGAGGCCACAAGGACCATGGCGATTTCAGGTATAGATTCAAATGCAATTAAACGGCAACAGCGGGCCACTGAAGATTTTTGAGTAGGTGTGTGACTTAATCAGAACTTTCCTTTACAATAATGGACAGCGATATTTTTATTTTTCTGCATTAGTTAACACTGGAGAAATAAAAACGTTCAAGAACTATAATTTAAAATTTTTATATGTGATTAAAAGTCATAAAATCTAATATTTGCAACTTTTTATATATTATTATTTAAAAGTTTTTGCTGTTACTAAAGGGTATCTTTTAAAACATATTTTTATTTTGAAATAATTTTAGATTACAGAACACTTGCAAAAATAGTCAAGTTCTTATATACTCTTCACCCAGCTTCCCCTTAGGACATCTTACATAACCACAGGCAAATGATCAAAATGAATGCCATTAATTGAACTACAAACTGTCTTTGTTTTTTACCAGTTTTCCCACTCACATCTGTTCTTTGTTCCAGGATCCGGCCCAGGATCCTACATCTAACCCTGTCTCTGTTGGTCTCTTCTAATTTATCATACTTCTTCAGTCTTTGTCTTTCTCAACCCTGATGCTTTTGAAGAGTACTGGTCAGATATTTTGTAGAATGTCTCTCTGTCTGGGTTTGTCTGATTTTTTGTCATGATTATTGGGAAGAGCACCAGAATTGATGGGCCCTTCTTGGTGCATATTGGGAATACATAATATCAATACATTTTTCATTGATGGCTTGGTCAAGGTGATATCTGCCAGGTTTCTCTACTGTAAAGTTACTATTTTCCCCTCTGTAATTAATCTATATTTTGGGGAAGATGCTTTAAGACTATGCAAATATCCTATTTCTGCTTAAACTTTTGCCCACTAATTTTAGCCTCTATGCCAATGGATCTTGCCTCAATATTAAATTTGAGGGTGATTTTAAATTCCTCAACATATTGCAAAACTTCCCACTTGCTCCATTAGATAGGCCTGCACCCTCAAAACTACTCGGTGGTGGTGGACACAGGTGTTTATCATTGCTTCCTCTACTATCACAGTGGGGGTGAATTGAGGGGCTCATCCGATCTCTCTTTTTAGACTGTTTCTGATATCATGAGGCTGCAGATGGTTCAGATTACACTTGTCATTTTCCTTTGACTGTGAAAGCCTGAGGCTACTCTTCTCCAGGCCAAGTCTCTTTGGAATCTGCAGTTATGGCTTGCTTAGCAATGCCACACTACAGTTTGAAGGGCCCTTATTTCTGCCAGGGATTGTAGAAGACGACCGACCCTACATTATCCATAGTCAGAACTGTTCTGGGCTTCAATTTAAAAAACGTAATGGTAACCACCGAGAGCTTACCCTTGGCTAAGTGTGTTTGAGGTAACTGAGGCTCCAAGAGGTTAGGTAACCCGAGAAGTTCCATGGGCAGAAAGTGGCAGAGCCAGGATCTGAACTGGGGTGATCTAACGCCAAAGCTTAGGATCCTCACATCATCCTATACTTTCCAACAGAGTGGATTATGGGCCAGGAAACAAAAAGAGGGCAGCTTCACTCACCTGGCCTCAGGAATGGCCTCCAAAAGAACATGACATCAGTTAGCCTGACACGTTTTACTCACACATGCAACAAATAGCCCAGTTGAGGCTAGGTCCTTCAGCAGAGGTTCCCAAGCTGTATGCCAGAGTAACTTGGCTTCCCATGCCAGACCTGATAAATTAGAACCCTAGGAATAGGGCCTAGGAATTTTAATTTTTAAGACATTTTCCAAGTGAATAAGGAAACCCTAATTTCATAAAATGATTAAAACGGTCTCTATCTAAATACTTTCATTTAGGATCTGACTTGGAACTCCGGCCTCTGGGTAGCTGTTCAGACAAAATGGGAGGAAGGTACAAGGAAGGTATATTTAAGCCACATCAAAGGAGTGGGCCTGACTTTGGGGGATCCTTAGGTAACACTTGTGCCCTTGTTTCCAAGCAGTTTCCCTGGGGCCTCTGCTTCATCTGAGGTCAAGGTCTGAGCGCTGTTGCCGGAAGGCAGACACTTCTCTACAGCTAAGGGAAAACAGCGTGAAGGACACGGGACTGACTCCTTCCTTCTTCCTCCTTTCAGCCTTTCAGTGTTATGATGTATGCAGCTGGTCCTGGATCTGGTGACTCCCCAGAGGGCTTCCCTGAACAGCCAAGGCTCCAGCCACAAATTGGAAACTACACAGCACAGGCACTGGGTACTGAAACTGGTAGTATATGCAGTCCTTCCTTCCTCAGAGTGTGGTTGGGGCAGAAGATTGCCGGTGTGGGATGGGGACAGGAGACTCAAAGAGGCCTTTCCGTAGCACAGAATTGCTAAAGACCTGCCCTTCATTTAGTGACATATGTTTTGCTCAGTCAACATTTATTTAGACGTTGACACTGTTGCAGGCACTAGAGAAATACCTCAATGAAAACCAACTAACCAACCCAACTTGGTCCCTTTCCCTGGAAGTTTTTTTTCCCTTCTTTTCTTGACTCCCTTACCAGTGGGACACCTCCTTTTTTCTAGATTAGGTAAAAAGAAGGCCCATTTGGAACAGGATGAGGAAGAAGACAAAGCTGTAGGCTCAATTAGTGACCTAGAATCTGAGATAAGGAAGACGGTAAAGACAGGAAAAACAGAAAAATGGAAAACTTGCTCGCTCTCTCTCTGGACTGAGAAGGGTGAGATTATAGACGCCAGGGCTGGGTGAGGCTTTAGGGAACGCCCAGCCCCTCATTTTACAGATGAGAAACGGAAGGGCGGAGAGATTACAGAGAAGTTGGAATAAAACAGTGTTCCTCGTATTATAATACGGAGCCTCCAGCAAGGCGCGTAATTTCAAACTGCTGCGCTTCGAAGGCTTCTGGGAGCCAGGACACGCTCATTGCCGTGGGGGCCAGTTCGCAAGCCCGCGGGTGCTACGCTCCCAATAAAGTTGTTGTTGAGGCTCAGCGGGACCACGTGAGCCGCCCCGGGGGCGGAGCTGGAGGCGGGGCGAGCCCGGGGCGGGGCCGAGCTGAGGGCGATCCGGGGGGCTGCGGCGAAGAGGGGAGGTGAGCGCAGGCGCGGCCGGCCGGCCATGATCGCCTCGTGCCTGTGTTACCTGCTGCTGCCGGCCGCGCGCCTCTTCCGCGCCCTCGCAGGTACTGGCCCCGCGTCCTGACAGGCGGGAGCCAGGCCCGGGCCGGCCCCGCGGGGCTGGGGCGGCGTGCGGCGCGTAGAGCCTCACCACCACCTTCCCTGGCAGTGCCAAGGTGTGAGGGAGCGGCCCTCGACCCCCGACCGGTCCTGGACTCTAGGAACTCCAGGAGGCCGGGGCCTGGCCGACCCTCGGCGGCCCCCTGCTCCCGCCGCTGGCGTTGGGCCACAGCTAACGCGGAGGGGCCTGGGGAAGAGGCACAAGCCGCCCCTTGTCGGCCCCGGGGGTGCAGAGAGGGTCTGGAGCCCGCAGAGTCACTGCCCGGCGTGGGGGTCAGAGAGGGTTGGCAGCTCTGGGCCAAGGCGAATGCCCGAATTCTCTGTGGGGAGGCCCTGGGGTCCGTGGGCTGAAGACCTGGGCGTACCTGTCTTCCCTCGGAGTGAACGCCACACTCACCTTTCCCAGCCACCTCTCCGCTCTGCTCTCCCGGTGGAGGCTTGGGTTGAAAAGCAGGCTCAGGAGGGAGAGCCGCATTTAAACCTCAGCTTTGAAGCAGCCTCCCTTGCGCTTAGAGATGTAGCGGGATGGAGCAGTGCCCAGCGGCTGCGTTAGAGCAGTGAGAGTTACTCTTGCACTTCAGGACCCACCTGCCCGTTTCATTCCTGGTCTCTTATTCCCGAGGCTCTCAGGAGGCAGATCCTGCGGAACTCCCCGACTTCCCTGCACTGTAGGGGCAGGACAGAGCCCCTTAGAAATAAGGGGTACAGCTGTGCATTCTGTGCTTTTCTTTTCTGGAACTTGACACAATGTGTGTGTGTGTACTTTATGCTTATATATGTGCATTTCATATAAAATGTTTGTTTCTGGCTGCTTCCAGAATGCAAGCTCCAGGAGGGCAGGGCCATGTCTGTTTTCTTACTGTGTCTCGAGTGCTAGCAAACTACTCAGAATGGAGGGGGCGCTCAATTCAGGAGTGTGTGCACACTTCTGAGGAACGAGAAACCGCACAGAAGTCGTCGTTTTCAGAGAACTAAAGCATACTCCTTTAGCGATGTTGCTCTTACGGTGTCCGGAATGGCGGCTGTAGTGATGGATACTAGTCCGGAGGTTTCTAGATTAATAATTTTAGGGATCTCAGGGGAGGGACGATCTGCTCGCCTCGCCCCCACACCCATTAAAGTAGTCCTACTTGTGTTAACTTTGTGTGTTTGGTTTCTATGGATTTTTTTTAAATAAAAGAAATCTGAAAAACACACGACCACCACCCACAAATCTGTGAAATTTGGAAACTAGTAACAGCTCACATGTAAATCAAAGAACCTCTGCCGTCTGATATACAAAAAGGATGTTTCAACCCAGGGGGAATTAGCAAGTCCCTGGACTGAAGCCAGCAACCAAGGGCATGAGTTTAAAGCAGGGTTTTCCCGTCTCGGCACGATTGACATTTGGGCCTGGATGATTTATTGTGGGACTGTCCTTTGCAAGATGTTCAGCAGTATCCTTATCCTCTAACCACTAGATGACAATGGCATCGCCATAGTGGTGACAACAACCAGTGTGTCCAGACAAGGCCAAATGTACCCTAAGAACAAAATCACTACTGGTTGAAAACCACTGTTAAATCCACATAGGCCATAAGACAGTGTCAACATTTGAATCATTCTGACGTTTCTCTTACCTTAGAAATAAATAGAGCTGATAAAATGGATCTGGTGACTCTGGACCAGCATCATGCATGCCACTGGTCTTGGGCCATAAGTAAGTGATTTAGTGTGTAGGGAGTGTTTGCATGCACCAAAGTACTAGGCATGGAGTTTGGGGGCTCCAATTGTGGAGTTTTCCCACTCGCTCTCTTGCCTGTCTGTCATTTGTAGCTGTTGTAGCAGAAAATGACAGCTGCCACTTGTCACTTTCTGATTAATAGCCTCTGTTGTGTTATGGAATGAGCAAGCTAATAATGAAGTCTGTGAAGACTTAGGAGCAGCTTTGAGAAGAGAACCAAGGGCCTTTGTTAAGAAATAAATTGTATAGATTTTGAGACACCCTTCTCGTCTACCTTAGGACTTTTTCCTTTGGAAAGCATTCACAGACTAGGGGACTTACAGAACTAGAAAAAGCTCTTGGAGACTATTCAGTTCAAACTTCCCTTGTCCCCATTTTACAGTCAAGGATGAGTTCATCTCACTGGGGGCATTGTCCAAGGCCACATAGTTTGTTAATTTCAGTGCTCTGCTGTAACCCACAGTTCTAATTCACGGTCAATTTCTGATTCCTATGTGGCACTTACCAGAAAGTTGATGTTTCATAGGACTCCTAACCTCTAGATTAAAAGGTGTGGTTATATGTGACCACCTCTTTACTAGATTATGTGGGACAGTCAGTCATTCTTTTATTTCCGCATAGAATATTTATCAGATCCCTACCATGTAAATTACTTAACACTTGTAAAGCCCTTAAAACCGTGCCTGCTGCATAGTGAGCACTTTGCCCTAGTGAGAAGAAGTTCCAGGCACTAAAATGGGTCGGCTCAGTGATGAGCAATGATGGGCAAGGTGCATGTGGTTCTTCCCTGTATGGGTTTCACATTCCAGGGGGGAGAAGAGTGTGGGCGGGGTGTCGCTGTCATCTTGTAACACGGTATTTTGGCTTTCTCGTTAGATGCCTTCTTCACATTTCGAAAAAATGCCCTCCTGGCGAAGAGCTCGTCCTCCCAGGTAGAGGGCGATTTTGCCATGGCTCCTCAGGGCGCGGACCAGGAAGAGTGCGAGGGCCTGCTGCAGCAGTGGCGAGAAGAAGGGTCGAGCCAGGTGCTTCCGGCTGTGAGCGAGGGGCCCCTGTTAGATAAGGGACTAGCTCAGAGCAGCCTGGCCCTCCTGATGGATAATCCTGGAGAACAGGTTGCTGCCTCAGAGGACAAGTGGCCCGGCAGGCAGCTGAGTGACCTGCAGGCAGCAGAGAACGTGGAGGAGCCTTCCTTTGAGGTCCTAGGAGAAGAGCCACCGCCAGAGGTCGAGGGCCCGATGTGGGCAGCTGTCCCCATGCAGACAGACCCTCAGTACGCAGACTGTGCTGTCCTCCCAGTGGGTGCCCTGGCCGCAGAACAGTGGGAAGAGGACCCCACAGTGGTAGCCTGGAGCATGACACCTGAGCCTGTGCCCCAGGAAGAGGCTCCCCTCTGGTCCTTCGAGGGCCTGGGGCAGTTGCAGCCTCCCCCGATGGAAATTCCTTATCATGGTGAGTCTGACAACTGGCTGAGCAAGCCGGGGTGACGGGTTGTCATGGGTGTGGGTAGAGCCATTGCTAAAGAAGGGAGCTGTGCTGCCGCATTCCGTCTTCCTGAGACTCTTGCAGTGCCAGATCTAGAGGGGCCTTAGAAATGATCTCACCTAGCCCCATGGTCTTCAGATGAAAAAATCCCCGTGCAGAGAGGTAGCGGGACATGCCTAAAGTCACACAGCTGGGTGGTGGCAAACTAAGCAGACCCTAGTTCTGATGCTGCGTGCTGTCGTTTCTCGGGAGGTGATCCAAGGGCCTTCTGGGAAGAAGGGTGAAGAGCCCTCCGGACCTCCACTCCGCCCCAACCAGAATAGCTCCAGTTTTAGCTGTCGTGCATACTGGGCTGCCACTAAAATTGAAGAATGAATTCTGTGGCTCCAGTGGGTTTGAAATCCAGTGTGCAGCTCCCTGCTTTAAGGGACACGGGGAACACGTGGTTTCTGGCCCTACAGACTTTTCCAGAGTTAGAGGTTAGAAAACACCCAAGGCTGAGATTACTCTACAAGTCTCTTTGACCTCAGGTGACTGTTAAGCACATTCATCTGAGTGATTCCCCAGAGACCAGTGGATTTGTCAAGTGCGAAATTGTTAGCCTGTATTTATTGAGCATGTACTAGGTGCCAGGTACTTTGCTAGGTACTGGGCATATAGTGGTGAACAGGCTAAGATTGTCTCTGGCTTTGTGGAGCTTACTGCCTCATCCGAGAATGTCCTTGGAGTTCTGCTCAGGTTGCCACAGAGGGATGGGTGACACGGATGGTGAAAAGGAACTTGAGACAATACCACTGAGTCAGGAGTGGAGATGGCAGGGCCCCTGGGTAACACGTGCTTGTCGTGGACCTCTTCTTCCCATCCCCTCTGCAGAAATCCTGTGGCGAGAGTGGGAGGACCTCTCCTCTCAGCTGGACATTCAGGGCCTGGAGGCAGGGGATGGCCCTCAGTTCCAGTTCACCCTGATGTCCTATAACATCCTGGCCCAGGACCTGATGCAGCAGAGCTCCGAGCTCTATCTGCATTGCCATCCAGACATCCTCAGCTGGAACTATCGCTTTGCGAATCTCATGCAGGAGTTCCAGCACTGGGACCCTGACGTGAGTGAAGGGGGTGGGGATGGGCAGTGCCAGTTTGCATTTGCTTGGGTCCCGGCTGTTTCCCAGTGCTCTTAGAAAATTAGTTTGTTCCCATAGCCATTTGTATGATTGGAGTCCTTCCTGGGGCTGGAGGCTGCCTGCTGAAGTAAATGAGTTTGGGCAGATGCTGAGAAGACTCTCCCTAGGTGTACTTCCACACCTTTACGCAGGGAGGGTGACTGGAGGGACTCACGGAGCGGGAAAAGCTGGTATATGTGTCTGGTCTTTTCAGCTTAACTCTGGGCCCGTTCTTGCTGGGGCTGACCATCGGGGAAAAGTCAGCCCTGTGGGAAGTTTCCGTGTGACCCTGCCTGAGACCCACAGCAGCTCCCCACCTGGCCGCAGTGCCTGCTGCTGGGGTGGGATCACAGTCAGCGCTGTGGGCACTCTGAAGTGATTGGTTTCCCTGTCCATTTCCCAGATCCTGTGTCTCCAGGAAGTCCAGGAAGACCATTACTGGGAGCAGCTGGAGCCCTCTCTGCGAATGATGGGTAATGCAGCTCCCCGGCATTCGTGCCAGTCTTTGTTCCTGCAGCCCTGTCTGCTGTCTCCTGAAGACACCGTCTTTTTCTTCTGTCTCAGTAAACCCCAGTCTCACCTGTGGGCTAGCTCCTTCTTTACGTGGGTGAGCAACAAAGTAGAGTTCTGCAGTTTTAAAGTGCTGGTGACATATGTTGCCATTTAATCCTTCAGGTAACCAACTCTATGAGGCTGAGAATTACTATGTCCAGTTTGTAATGAAGAAACTGAATTTCTCAAAATTTCTGTGACTTGCTCGGGGTCACAAAGCTACAAAGCTGGTAGGCTGTGGAGCTAGGACTCCCAACTTGTCTGACTGGATTCCATGCTTTTCCAGTCGATTTATATGGCTTCATTCCCTTCTCTCCTTCCTTCCCCTTAGAGCCCCTTAGTCACCTGGTTGAAACTGTAAGGGAACCACTGCAGAACCAGGGACTTGGCGAGGGCAAGGACTCCCATCGTTGAGCAGCAGGAGCAATGCCTTATGCATACGCACTGGGGTTACTGCCACTGGTTGGACTAATTCAGGGTTCGAGGACTCTGATCCATCTCCTTGGCGGGGTGTTTTTTGCAGGCTTTACCTGTTTCTACAAGAGGAGGACTGGGTGTAAGACGGATGGCTGTGCTGTCTGCTACAAGCCCACGAGATTTCGTCTGCTCTGTGCCAGCCCAGTGGAGTACTTCCGGCCTGGCTTGGAGCTCCTCAATCGGGATAACGTGGGCTTAGTGTTGCTGCTGCAGCCACTGCTTCCAGAAGGCCTGGGGCAAGTCTCGGTGGCCCCTTTATGTGTGGCAAATACCCACGTCCTGTACAATCCACGCCGGGGTGATATCAAGCTGGCCCAAATGGCCATTCTCTTGGCTGAAGTGGACAAGGTGGCTAGGTTGTCAGATGGCAGCCACTGCCCCATCATCTTGTGTGGGGACCTGAACTCCGTCCCTGACTCCCCTCTCTACAACTTCATCAGGGACGGAGAGCTCCAGTACCTCGGGATGCCGGCCTGGAAGGTGAACTGGGGCGGCCGCTGCAGGGTGGGGCCTGGCCTGGGGAGCGCAGTGGGCGTTGGCGCCAGGCGCTGCTTCTGGGGCAGGGCCTCAGTCACACCTCTTCCGGCTCCCTCCCGCCTTCTGGTACCCAAAGCCTGGGAGTTCGGTACTCTTGAGTGCCTCTCACATGCTGGAATTCTTTCAGCCTTTATCATTAATTTATTTAGTTTATAAATAACCCAGAAGCACATCCTTGTACAGGAATTCAAATATCAAAAAGGGGCCAAAGACCCTTTTATTACCTACATTCCCTACCTCTCCCCTGAAACGAATAACTGCTTGAAGTTTGGCGGTATTTTTCCAGATCGCTTTCTGTGCATTTATAGCGATATCAATGTTCCTGTGATAATGTAATCATCACCTCCATTTATTAAGCAATTATTGTGTGCCAGGTGTTATTTTAAGCACTTTACATGTATTCACTCATTAATTTTCACAATTTCTATCATCGCCTCTGCTTTATACATAAGGAAACCGAGGCACAGAGGAATTAGTGATTTGCTTACTCTGCAGCCTCTGCGGGTCGGTAGCGGTGGAGCCAGGATTTGTAACCGGGGGGCCTGGCCCCAGAGCTCCCGCCCTCGATACTCCGCTGCTTCTAACAGCTGATATGTAATCTATCGTGTGTTTATAAACACGATGTATCCCTGTGTGTTTCATTTTATAGCGTGCTTTTTTTTAACTCAACAATGTATATATGAATCTCTCATTTCATTTAACTGCTGAATGTTAACAGTATAGAAATCTCATAGTATATCGTAGTTTATTTAGCTGTGCTGATGGGCATTCAGCTTGTGCTAATGTTTTATAAGTCACTTAATCTCCCTGTTCCTTGGTTTTGCTTCTACTGATCCATCCAACTTATTGCTTAACTTTTGGCAAGGCACAGTGGAGAAAGGACACAGAGTAACTGAATTATTGTTGAGCACTTTGGGCTTTTATGTTAATGAGGTTACTCAAGGGCCAGCAATGTCCTGGTTGCCATGTGTGCAGAGAAAGGCATCATCCCGCCAGAAAGTTGCTGTGATCAAGGAACTCAGGAAGTAGGCAAAAGAATTTACTAAGTACCGACCTTCTGAAAGGCCCCATTAGCATAGTGATTAAGAGCAAACATTCTGAAGCCAGACAGTCTTGAGTTCAAATCCCTGCTCTGCCACCTTGGGCAAGTCCTTAGGCTCCCTTTGCCTCATCTGTACATTGAGGACATAGTGGGACCTGCTTTACAGGGTTTTTGTTTGTTTGTTTCTTTAGTGCATTAAATCAAATTATGCACATAAAGTGTTTTCCAGTTCCTCCTTCAAAGGAAGCAGCCAGTAATTTGGTAGTGGTTATTACTATCAAGATTCTTAATTCTATGTGGTGTTGTTATTCCATTTTATAGTAGAGGATATTGAACCCAAGAGAGTTAACTAACTTGTCCAAAGTCACACAGCTGGCAGATGGCTGTTAAATTTCAGGTCTGTTTTCTTTCAGATGGCATGTTGGAAATTTCTGTCCTCTAAGGGCAGGGAGTGTGCCTGTCACTGCTCTCTTCCCGGCACTCAGCTAGTGCCTCGCTCACAGTGGCATTCAAATGTTTGTTGTTGTTAAATGAAACAAAGGGAACTTTGCTGTATATGTTGGAGATATGCAGATGACTGATGTTACCAAATGTTTCCCCTACTACGTGCTGTCCGTTCCCAGGCTGCTCATTGGCTTTGACCGAGGATGGTGATGTGATACATACGGTAAAGTGCTTTGGTGCATTTCCCATTTGCTTCAACCCTGTGGTTTCCCGTTAATAGGCTTCAGATGCTCGACCTTGCTCCAGAAGGTGCAAAGATTAGGACAAACCTTTCCCAGTGCGCGCTAAAGCCCCTGAGAGTTGATAGTCTCTGTGGACAGTTGTGAAGATTTGTCTGAGGGGAAAGTTAGAGGGTCACAAGTTCGTACGGTTCTGTTCTCTTTGACTCACACATCTCACTCTCTTACCCTGCATTCCTGTCTCACGGGCGTTTCAGTGCTTCTAGTAAAAAAAAAAAAAGGTCTTAATTAGCTCCTTGTTTTTAACCTTCCCCTAAGACTTACATGTTCTCCTTCTATTATGGATATAGTATATGATAGTACGTGTGTATGTTTGTCTGCATGATCTCCAATAGGGGTGTTTCCTTTTTCTGCCTTGGTTTTTTCTCAGTTGCATCTGCTCTTTCCTTGTAGGTGTCTGGACAGGAAGACTTCTCCCATCAGCTCTACCAGAAGAAGCTGCAGGCCCCGCTGTGGCCCAGCACCCTGGGCATCACTGACTGCTGTCAGTATGTCACCTGTCATCCCAAGAGATCAGGTGAGCCTGTGTCACGTTGTCGGTTGCCGGTGCCTCCATGCCCATTTTGGGAGAAAGCTGGCACCTCAATGGCGGGAAAGTGTAATCCCCTCAATTCCCTTGGCAAGTTCCTTTGTTTTTCTCACTGTCCTCACGGGCAGCCAGTGATACGGAAAACTGTAAATCATAGCTGTCGGAGAAGCTCCTTGCCCTCTGAACCAGACTTCTGCTATGTCCCTACGCTGGAAACTTCTTGATATTAAGGAGGTCTTGGCATGTGGCTCCTCTTCCTTTCTCTCACTGTATGGCTTTTGCTGGTTTACAGAGAGACGTAAGTACAGCCGAGACTTCCTGCTACGTTTCCGCTTCTGCAGCGTGGCCTGTCAGCGACCAGCAGGACTGGTTCTTATGGAAGGAGTGACAGATGGCAAGCCAGGTAATGGGACCTGAGCTTGTTTTCTTGGTCTTTTGTGCCTTTTTGTTTAGCCCTGATATTTGTCAGTTATTTGATTTCTTAGTGTCTCCTAGGTGTGATTTTTAGAGGTCACCTGCTGGTCATCAGTGTGCTTGGAAGGGTTAGCGGCCGCATGCATGCATGGATGTGCAGTGCCGTGAGAACAGGGACCAGAAATCAAGACCTGGGTTCTAACGGCTCTGAGACCTTGAATGAGCCATTTAACATTTTTAGGTTTAAGTTGCAACTAACTAGCACGTAGACAGCATATAAGGGAGAGAAGTTACACATGGTAGGGCTTTGAAGCTCAAAAGGTGTCAGTAGGCCTGGTTGTAATAAAAGAAGTCCTGCTGAGAACTTCCAGACTGAGTATGGCAGAGAGTACTTGACCTTGTACCCTTCTTGTCTCTGAAACCACTCCGAAGCAACAAGAGAAATGGAAAAAAGAAATATAAAGTTCAATTTGGAGAAAACAGGGAGTCTAAAGATTTCCGAAACCATAAACCACAACTCAAGCGGAGTGGCCGTGAGAAGCACCGGGGATCGTGCGAGGGTGCTGGTGGGAGCCTTGAGGCTGTGCGCATCTCTAAAAGAGCCAGCAGGGTCTGCTCCTCCACGGCGAGGCACAGAAGCGAAAACCTGGTTTCATCAGTAAGACAAGGATGCACAGGTTGTGATAGGACATTGTCTCAGCCTGTTTTAGTCCTAGAGGCAGTGGATGAAAGACTGAGCCAGAAATCGAGCCGTATTTGCGTTCAGCATTCTCAGTGGCCGGGAGAGCAGCATATGAAGAGCAGCATGTACTTTGGCTGGGAGAAGTAAAGATGAAAAGGACTCATGCAGACCGTGTGTCATAAGGAGAATTTCTGTTACTTGGAATGCATATTTGATTCTTTTCTTATGTAGACTTTGTACAAATAACTGGTAGAGAAACCTCAACTAATTCGAAGCTGAGCTACCCCAAAGAAACCAGCAGGAGATCTGCACTAAAGTGCTGCAAGAAAAGCAGGAAGCAGGGACAGGAGAAATAAAAGGCAGATAAAGAATACTTACTTCAAAGATAAAAATTCTTGCATATGGAAATCACAATCATTTTCCCATGAATAAAAAAAATGAAGCAATTGCCTTTATAAAATAAGAGCACAAAAATAAAATCACTGCCTTTTAAAAATAAGTTCAGGCACATGGCAAGACATCAGAAGGTGGAATGTAAGCTGCAGAGCTGAGGCAAGAAATGGAATAAAACCTTTAAAAATCCCACAAAATGAAGACAGAACTGGATACAGCACAGGAAAGAATAGATACTGCGGAAAGCCAGAGACACACCAAGGAGGGAAAAGAGCGAAATGAAAAAGAAGTGAAAGGATGAAAGGGCGAGAGGGAAAACGACAGACGTGGGCGACGAGGCGATCGAGCACGTAACTGGAGCCCTCAGAAGAGAAGACCACTCCAATGGCACGAAGGAAATGTTTAAAGGGATGTTCCGGGGACGATTTCCCGAAGGTGGAAAGATCGGAATCTTCAGGTTGAGAGGCTGTGCCAAGTCTCAGTAAAAACAGTGCCGGAGAAGCGACCCCAGGCCATCCTAGTGAAGTTACTAGGAGTCGAAGGTAGAAGAATCCTTCGGGCAGTTGAACCAAAAAGATCAGGCTGCTCTTAGGGGTAGAAATAATCAGGTTGGCTTCAGACTTCTTCACACCAGAGTTCAACTCTGGAAGACGTGGGAGCACGGCTTTAAGGGGAGGAGGTATGGCGCAAGAAGTTTACACTCCACCAGAAGCCTTTCTTGAAGAGATGCTGGAAGACTAAGTTAAGACAACTAAGCAGTGACTGGAAAAGACTATAGACCAAGGACTGGTGGTAAGCAATGAATTTGTTTTTTTCTTGTAGGAACGTAATTTAAATTGGCATTTTGGACAAGGCAGCGAACATTTCAATGGCTTGGGGTTTTTTTAATTGTGACGGGAAATGTGTTACTGTAACTGTGGCAATAATAATAATAATAATAATAATAATAATAATAATAATAATAATAATAATAATGGTGATGGCTACCATGCATTGAGTGACTAGCACGTGCCTGGACCTGGGGTGGTGCTTGTATCCGTTGAGCTCAGGCAGGGGAGCAGTGGCTTGGCACCTTAAGAGTATAAAAGCCCAGAGTTAAACACCAGTAAGATCCCACCTAGGCAATTTCATGTTAAGAATAGGTTATTTTTTAAAAAATCAGTGCTGTACTTGAAACATAAAATTAGCATTTCAGTTTAATAACAAAATTAAACCCAAGAACCTTTAAAATACACAGACAGTCACTTTGTAAGTAGAATCATTATATTGGGGAAAGTGCCCTGTTCACTAACAATGCGAAATAATAGCACTGTTTTCAGAACGGAAATTAGGCTTGAGTAAACACACCCATTCACTACATGCTGTGAACATGCCCTTCTGCCTGTTCAGTGCTCCCCACCTAGGGCTGAGCAGACTCCTGATGAGTCACCTTTAAATACTTGGAATCTAAAACGCTACCATCACTTGGAGACTGCGAGCAGAAAGACTTGAGTGCAATATGATGAGATCACAGTGTGGGACCTTTTTTCTGGAGGATATGTTTAGGTGTGCTACCAAGTAGTATTTCCAGTCCTGTACCAGACTCAGCCAACCCGCCACACACACCAAAACTTGTGACCTTGGCCCTGGCCGGGTGGCTCGGCCGGTTGGAGCATCATCTCATACATCAAAAGGTTGTGGGTTTGATCCCCAGTCAGGGTGCGCACCCAGGTTGCAGGTTCCGTCCCCTGTTGGCGCACCTACAGGGGGCAACCCATCAATGATGGATGCTTCTCACATCAGTGTGTTTTTTTCTCTCTCTCTATCAAATCAATAATAAGCATGTCCTTGGGTGAGGATTAAAAAACTAATAAAAATAAAAACTCGTCAACTTGACCGTGGCCCTGACTCGAGTGTGAAGCCTCTGAGTCACACAAGGAGCTGCGGGGCTGGGAGGCGGCGGTGTGGCTCTCCCACAAGCGGGCGCTGCATTGCCTGCGGTGTTCTGCGTCGCCCCAGCTGCATGTCACCAAGCATCGTGGCTCCCTTCCTCCCCAGCCCCTTTTGAGGGGGTAATTAACAAGAGGAAACCAAAATTTTAACTCCCCCCGTGTATTTTTTCAGTTATTATTTATCTTTCCAGTATGGTTCATACAGACACCAAGAGGGGTTACTGTGTTTTCTTTCTCATGAGTGCTTGCATGTTTACATGAACTCTGGAGCTTTGAACTTACATCGAACTCTTCAACTCTTTTAACACTTAACCACAAACTATGGGCCCAATTAAGTGCATTACAGGAAAAAACAATTGCTAATAGTTGATTTTTATAAGCCACTATTCACAAACCAACCAGATGGCCATAGAGCAAAGGCCGTCCTATCAGTTTTCTCATGAGGAAAGTTCCGAATCCAGCTTCTCCTCTGGTCCATGCACGACACCACTTATTATCCCCTTCCCCAGTGCTTGCAGAAGAGCTGAACTTGCTTGGCTTCCACTTGCTTACTTGGGTGCCGAAAGGGCCCAGGAGAGGTTGCCGCTCAGGCAGAGGCAGCTGTCGCCCATGTACTAGTGCTGTCTGTATACAGTGGCGTCTGTACATGGTGGGCATGGGCAGAACCTGGGACTGAGGGAAGCCATTTTTAATGTCCTGCTGGTGGTCACTGTGGCTTTTCTGGCATATAATAATGGTAAAGGATGTGACTCAAAATATAGGTATTATGAATATTCATGCTCCACGTAACATTACATCAACCATCACAAAGTAAAACTTCAGGATTTAACAAGGAATAATAGTCAGAAAATAACTAATGGTAGAAGGTTTTAATTCATCTTTCTTTAAAAAAAATTTTTTTATTTTATTTTAATCATTGTTCAAGTACAGTTTTCTCCCTTTTACTCCCATTAATTCATCTTTCTTACTCTGCAACAGTTCAAGCAGATAAAAGATAACTAAGAATGTGGAAGACTTAAGTAACATAAGGTAAACAGATTGATACATGTGAAACTCTGAACACTGAAAGCAGAACAAAGACATCGTTATAAGTGTCCATAGGAGATTCTTAAGAATTAGTCAGATATTAGACCACCTAAAAACCTCAATAAATTTTAAACAGTAGAGGTAGTATTGTCGACTTTCTCTGATCACACATGCAATAAGATAGAAATTAAAAACAAAGTACCACCCTGGCCAGTGTGGCTCAGTTGGTTTGAGCATCATCCTGTAACTGCAAGGTTGCTGGTTCGATTCCCCATCAGGACACATGCCCAGGTTGCCAGCTCGATCCCCCACTGGGGCACATGCAGGAGGAGGCAGCAGATCAGTGTTTCTGTCTTACATTGATGTTTCTCACTCTCTTTCCCTCTTCCCCTCTCTCTAGAATGAGAATACAATAACCCTTAAAAACAAACACAAAAGTCCCCAAACTAAAATATACTCACTTGGACATTTAAAAAATCTCAAACAACTTCTGGGTCAAAGGTGAAATTTAAACTGAAACTGCAGAATATCTAAAAAATAACAATAAAGAAAATACCATATATTAGTGGAATAAAAGTTAAAACAATATTCAGTGAAAAAAATCGGCATTATATAGGCTATTTAGAATCATAGAATTGTATTAATAAAAAAGATGAAAGTAAGTACATTAGGCATCCAAATTAAGTTAGAGAAAAGAACAAACTGAAAAAGCAGAAGGAAAGAAGATGAAAATAATTTAGAAAACAGACTAATAGTACAACTAATAAACTCTAATGAGAGTCGGTGGTTTGGGTGAAAAAGCAGCTGTCAGAAAAGCCCATTCACTAATTTATTCAAGGAGTAAGCAAAAGGATTCAGATGCACAAGAATGTGCAAAGAAATTGAAAACTTAGTTGCATATATTAATTTTAGAAAATGTAATTTACTAAAAATGATTGCAGAAGAAAGAGGTAACCTAAAGAGACTACCACAGGGGGAAATTTTTTTAAAGTTCCCAGAGATGCAGTCCCAGATAAGCACCAGGCTGAGGTTGATGGGAGGATGTCATCAAACCTTGTAAAGAACTTTTGTAATGCCATGACTATTTAAATTGTTACAGAGCACAGAGGAAGAATGGGGCCAGGTCATTTTTATGCAACAAGTATTTTGACACCAACAGCTGACACAGAAAAGAAAGCTGCAGACTAGCATTCTCCCTTATGATATTAATGCAAAAAATTTTACATAGAAGGTTAGGAAACAGGACGTAGCAGCACATTAAAGAGCAGTATACCATGACCAGATGGAGTTGATCAGAAACATAAAGATAGTTTGATATTGCAAAATCTGTGAATATAACTTGTCATGCCAATATACATATATATGAAATGTATTTAATATACGAGAAGCATCCTATAGATGTCAGCATCAATCCTTGCATTGTTTGAATACATTTCTCTTTGCCGGAACACGGGTGGGTGGCAGTGCGCCCTGGGGCTAGGGTCTGAGGCTGCTCTGCGTGAGCGGAGGGCGAGGGTCTGCTGCGGGCCTGGAAAAAAGTTCATCTGAGCTCCAAAACTCAAGGTCTTGCTTAAGGAAAACACTTGAGTAGCAGAGTCAGCAACAAGCCAAGGATGACCACTCTCATTATTCAACGGAGTTCAGAGATGCCAGCCAACATGATCAGAAGTAGAAATATAGGTAGGCAAGTAGACGTGAAAGATGGAAGGGAAGGTAAATTATTACTTGCTATTAATGTTGTTATGTAACTGGTGATCCAAGAGATTGAATTAACAACTGTCATAAGTGCTAAGATAATTCTGGAAAGTAGCTGGGTACAGTTACAGAAAGCCATAGTATTCATATATAAAAATAATGACACATTTATTAAGAGATATAATGAGCCCTACACAGTGTGGCACAGTTGGTTGGGTGTCGTCCCATGAACGGAAAGGGGACCGGTTTGATTCCCAGTTGGGGCATGTGCCTGGGTTATGGGCTCTGTCCTCCATCCCCAGTTGGGCAAATGTCAACCAGTTGACATTTCTCTCTTACATCCATGTTTCGCTCCCTCTCTTTCTCCCTCCCTTCTCTCTCTAAAGTAAACATTTAAAAAAAAAGATATAATGAAAAAAAACCTCCAATAGCAACAAATATAAGACAAATTAATTGAATAGGGAAAATGTATGGTATATAAAGGAATATTTCATTTCATCTAAATTATCAAATTTATTGGTATGAAGTTACAGCATTCCTTTATCCTTTTTAAAAAGCTGTATTGAGATGAAATTCACATACCATAAAATTCACCCACTCAAAGTGTACAAGTCAGTGACTTTTAGTGTACTAAAGCTGTGCAACTGTCACCATAGCCATCGCCCCCAAAAGGAACCCAGTACCCAGTAGCAGTCATTTTCCACTCACCCTTTCCCTCACGAAAAGTCAATTGACCACAGACATAGGTTCAGGCTCTTAATCATATTTCAGCCACCTGTATGTCTGTCCTTAGGCTGGCACCACACGGTCTGGATTATTGTAGCTTTTTGTAAGTTTGAGATGGGGAAGTGTAAGAGTTGTAACTTAGTTGCTGTTTTTACCATTAAGTATGATATGTGCTCTCTGGGATCCCTTTCACAGGGCATCAGTTCCATTCATGAGGCTCCCCCCTCATGACCTGATGACCTCCCAGAGCCCCCCCCCCCCCCCATTCCATCCCATCGACAGGTTAGGTTTTCGACATAATTTGGAGAAAAACATGCAGTCTCTAACACCCATTGATGTCAGTGGGATCTGTAATAATATTCCCTCTCTCCTGATATCGGTGGTGTGCATCTTTTTTCTTTGCACGTGTGTACGTGTGTGCATGAGTATGTATGTATATGTGTGCACACACATGGAATGGTGTGTGATGGGAAATCTCTGGAGGAACATACACCAGACATTTGCTACCCTCAGTTGCCTCTGGAATTGTGTTGCAAGGGACCTGGAGGGGGAGGGAGACTTCTCACTGATATTTTTCTCTACAGTTTGATTTTTGTACCATGTGACTATATGACTTTTTAAAAATAAATTTAGGTTTTAACGGAAGGTGCTGAGTCACAGAAGATCATGTCTATGTTAGAGACCTCTGTCTGTCCGCCTTCCCGAGGTTCTTGACTTTGGTCCCTTGTTTTCTTCCTCCCTTCCCTCCTCTTCTTCCTTCTTCCTGCCTGGGGCAACCTGCGGGCCTGAGGAGGATTCCGGGGCGTGGAGCTGAGCCTCCTTCCCCGTCCGCGAAGGTAAAGCGCCTCTCTCCCGTCTTCTGCAGAACGACCTGCGGGCTGGGCCGAGCCTGTTCCGGAGAAAGACACCTCTGAGCCGGAGCCTGTCGGCCCCAGGTAACTGTGCTTCCAGCCTGTCTAGGTGTGTGACAGAGGTTCCTGTGGGCTCTCCTGAGGCCGATCTGGGGGAACATGTTTTGCTGAGCTCTCCCTCCCCTGCAAACCTGCTGAGCGCCTGCAGGGGCACACAGGTGTGCAGAGGCCAGAGGGGCCCACCCAGGTTCCTGCAGAGGAAGAGCCCACGCGCGGTTCCTTGTGGGAGTCCGGCCTCACAGGAGAGCTTGACGACCCGTGGACAGGGGTCTGTTAGGTGGGCTTCGTCAGCTGGCGGAGGAGGGTGGGGGTGAGGAACGCTGGGGGACTGAGTATAAACGTGTCCGTTTCTCGGCTAACCTTAGCTGAGACCATCAGCCTCTTGTTGGCATGGGGAGGAATTTTTGTTGAGACTGAGTTATTTGGGCTCATCCATGAGAAATACTTCAAAAACCTGCAGAGAAAGTAGCCGTGAGACCAGCTCAGGGGCGTTTGCTGACCGAAGCCATCCCCTCCGTCCCTGCAGGGCCGCCGGCGCCATCCAGCACTGCCTCCACCTGACCTCGGTGTACACTCACTTCCTGCCCCAGCATGGCTGCCCGGAGGTCACCACGATGCCTTTGGGTCTGGGAACGACGGTGGACTACATCTTCTTCTCAGCTGAGTCCGGCCAGAGTGGGGACAGGACTGGTAAGCCTGGTGGGCCCTGGGCCCTGGAAGCCACCCCCATGAGTCCCTAACAGCTGAGGGTTGTCAGGCATCTGGTGGCTTGGCTTGGGCTGCTGGCTTTCATGCCTACCCAGCAGTGGTCATTCTCGTCGGACTTCCCCTAGGTGTGCTGTTCACCTCTTTTTACCCTTGTAGCATCAGAGAGAAGTGGGCAGAGCAAGCCCTCCCCACCCCGTTTTGGAGGTGAATTAGAGCGTTCTGAGGTTGTTGGATTTGTTCGGCAGCGGCTGGTTAGTGAGGAGCTTGATTAGGTTAGAGACCCCATTTCCCATCTCCTCACCCCGCACTGGTGCTCACGGTGTAGCAGTCCGTCAGCCCCTGTCTGTGTGTTTAAAGCAAGTCTTTTAAACGTTTAAGTTGATTGCCTATGTTTAAAACTCAAGTTTCTTATAGAAAATCTGGATTTCCAGTTTCCCTTGGAAAGTCAGCAGATCCTGTAATGCTGGGCCCGGGCACACACGCTCCTCTTTGCCGCAGTCCCCTGGAGCCCTCTGCCTCATTCACTGATCGATGTGTCATGAAGTCTCTGAGGAAGCGAGGCTTCGCCTAGAAGCAGCAGGAGGAGCTGAGGCGGGTGGGCGGCCAAGGGGTGCAGCCTCCAGAGGGCACAGCTCCCACAGGCCCCACCCATCCCGCAGTGGGACTGGCCGCCTTACCTGCTGGCTTCTGCTTTGTGCCCCAGGCCGCAGGCATCAGGATGGAACGCTCACGCTCCTGGGCCGCCTCTCCCTCCTCTCCGAAGAGATCCTCTGGGCTGCCAACGGCTTGCCCAACCCCTTCTGCTCTTCAGACCACCTCTGCCTGCTGGCCAGCTTCGGGATGCAGGTCACCGCCCCGTGACAGGGCTCCCAGGGGAAGAGAGCGTCGCTTCCGGAAGAGCTCACAGGACCAGAGACTGTGGAAACTTAGATCCAACTCACGCACATCCCCTGCCCTCCCCCTCCTCGTTCCCCCCTTCCCACGGTTAGGTTTTCTCTGGGCCTGTCCCGGTTCTCTGCCTATGGCCCCTTCCCTGCCCCAGCCTCTTCCTAACCCTGGGCCACGTACTTGGTGGCCCTGGGAGAGGTGGACGAGTGGTTCCCCTTCCCGCCATGTACCCAGCGCTCCCCCTTGATTTTTGATTACCAGGGTTGTGGGAGCTATTGATCTCAATGGTTATTTGCTTTCAGGCTATTTCTTGGTGGTGCCTTCTGATCCGACCTCCTCCCTGCCTTCACAACGTCTGAGCCCGGACCTCTTGCCAGGCACACACGTGTGAGATGCGTGTAGTATGTGTGCATCCTGTCAGGGCGGGACTGCTCTGCGTGGCCACACCTGCGCCTGGTCAGCCTGCTTTCTGCCCTGGGGCCATTGGCCGAGGGGCAGGCTGAGAGCATGGCTCGCATCTGTGCGCTGCCAGGCAGCAGCAGGGGCACGGGCCCTCCTCCTTTCACCCCCTGAGTCCTATTAGGCCGTCACCGTGCTAGCTGGGGCACACGCACCCTCTGAGCTCTGGGAGCGAACGGGCCCCACGGCCTGGAGCAGCACCTTTGGGGATGCACCGCCGGAGCCTCTGACCCGAACTCCCCACGGGCCCGGCGTGCACTGTCTGGGCTGGCCCCTTTCCCCAGGCTGCCCGAGGAGAGCAAAAGTTTGTGTGGGGTCAGTGGGCTGGGAGAGTGGTTTGAGGTCTAAAGCTCTGTGAGGGTGAGGAGAGAGAACCTTCAGGAAACAGTTGTCTCACTGCGCTCTGCAGCCCGCAGAACAGGGGTGAGGGGGTAGCCCCTGCAGGCAGGCTCTGCAGCTGCCGCAGCTGGGACTCAGGACCTCAGGGATTATTCTCTTTTCCCCACCACTTTTTACTGTTTGCTGCCTCCCTCGTTCCCTTCCGTTTTCTCCCTAGGAAAGCCTGCTGTTTAGCTGAGGCCAAACCTTCTCAGCACAAAGGTAACCTTGGGCAAAAGTGCCTGAGGAGCTGCTCAGACCAGCAGGGCCCCAGCTGCTGGGCGCCTCTGCGTCCCACTCCTAGCGCAGGGGCTTCCGTGCCCTCACGCATCACCTGCATGCCTTAATCCTCTGCTGCTGGTGTGGCCTCAGGTGTTCCTGGGCCAGCTGCTCCTCGGACCCCTCACTCGGAGTACCTGCTGGCCCTGCCTGATTTCACTTGCTGTTGCCCGCCCCTCTCGGCCTCCATCACAGAGCTGGAGGAGTAGCCGAGGGGCTGGAGAAACAGCCTGAGGTTAATGGTCTCTCCCTGTATGTATTTGAAAGCCAAAGACCCAATTGAACTCATCTGTGTTCGTGGTTATAGACTTTCCACACCTAGGTTCCGGGGAATTTATCTATGTGTGTGTGTTTTTAAACATTGTTTCCTGGGTCCTGGGCATGCCTGGCTGAGCCCCAGGCCTGTCCGTGCCCCGCCGCTCCTTCTGTTTGCCTCTCTCTGGGCACCTCCTGAGATGAACGCAAGACAGCGCCCGACTGTTTTCTAAGACTGTGGCCCGTCACTGTTCTCCTTTGCTGGGAAATGCATTGAAACATGGCTGAAGGTGGTAGAGGGCAGATAGCCTGATACTCTTTTTTTTGTTTTGTTTTCTTGTTTCTGTTTTGGAAATGAAATGGGGGTTTTAAGTGGACATTTAAAGTCCCTCTTCCAAATAAAGGTTTACCTTCCCCCTTCCTACTGCTGGTCATTTTATTAGGATTCTGAAGGGCGTGGGGGAGAGGAGTCTTGGAGAATGAGGTGGACAGAGAGGAAGGGACTGGTCCGGTGCTGGGGCCTCACGTCCTAAACCTAGACCAGGGAAGCGCGTTGGGATCGCCCTCTGATCACAGAGGCAGATCCCCACTGTGCTGCGGCCTGGGGGAGTAGGGCTTGGGCAAAGCCTCCTGCCCGGACTTTTGTTGACGGCAGCTCTTCTCCATCCTCGCCAAGCTAGAGGGGAACAGTCCTCTCAGCTGCTTTTGTCCTTGCTCCATCTGCTGCCCCTCCCCCCAGCCCACACTGCATTTTGGGAGGGTCTGTGTGGAAAGTGGGATGTGACGTGCTTTCCTGGTCAAAGCTTGCATGAGGCAATGGTGTGTGCAGCAGATGCCTCTTGCTGAGCGTCTATTTCTGATCATCTCATTTGCATTCTGGAGCCAGCGCTGAGCTGTGAGCCATCTGTTGCTGGAAAGGTTTCTCTTCTTCCCGGGCCTCACACTGCTGGCACTTTTGTCTTCTTCTAGCCTCCTTAAGCAGCAAGTCCACCAAGCCCACATTGCCACGGGAAGCCCTGAAACCAGGGGCGGCGTTCTGTCTCACCGAACGGAACCCAAAGCCCCACACCTTTGGGTTGGTCTCCGAGACCGAGCTGCACGAAGCTCCCTGGGTGCTTCCGGTGCCCCTCCTGGGTTGACATTCAGTGGAGAGAGAGGAGCTGGGGTTAGGACCACCACTCACTTGTCATCTTGGCCTAGTCACGTGGTGACGGTGGGTGAGTTAACCATTGTGTTTCATTTCACAAAGCTTGGTGAAATGGAAACTAAAGTAGTAATCTTTTCCACTTGTGAGGGATTTTTGGGTCCGAAATTGTACTGTGTGAGCTTGGGCAAGCACAGGCTGCTAAGAATTCCAGAGCATTGGTGGGAGTCGAGGGTGGGTAGTTCTCCCCAGCCCGGCTGGACGATTGGCCCTTGGGCTGGGAATTACTTTGCAGCTCCCGAGCTTTGAGGTGTATGCCCAGAGACCCCCCCTACTAGCCCGGAGGGTTTCCTGCTGGTCGTCTGAGTTAGGTAACGTTTGCACAGCACTTGACAAGTTCACGCAGTGTCCGCTGCCACTGTGAGTATATAACAACCCTGTGGTGGGCAGTTCAGCTTTCATAGATTACATCCAAGGAGACAGGAATCCCAAAGAGGCGAACTGAGAATCTCCTCTGTTTTGCTTCTTGCCGCCCCACACTGTGCAGCCGGGAGAAGGGAGACCACCGGCCAGGCTGCTGCTGGGTTTTCTTTTTAAACTTTCACGTTCTCTCCAGTTCTCACCCCGAGGTAGCTACTAGAGGATTGTTTTTTGAGTGGTTACATGATCAGTGCAACCCCAGGTGTAGGAGGGGCCCACCTGTTCTCGGTCCCACCAGGGGCAGGGAGCTGACCTGTAGCCCTGCACGTCTAGACTCCTCCCAGTGCCCCTTTCTCTGTTTCCCCCGAGCAAACGTCAGAACAAACTGTTCCAGGCAAGGGCCAGCCAGGCGAGAGCTTGGAGGTGCAGGCCTTACCTGGGCTGGGAGAATGTAAACCTAATGTGTTTCAGAGGGAACTCTGTCTTCTGCCCCGTCTCTACCCAGTTCCTGTGCTCTTAAGGCCTGAGGCCTCACCCGGCTGCGGAGAGGAGTGGAGTCTCTATACTTACATTCTTGGAGGTTCAGTCTTTCCCGGGACCAAGTTCTTTCTGGCTGCAGGTGGCAGAGGGCACATTCCCAAGTGGGCTGACCTCAGAGGGCTGCCTCTGCCGCCGCCCAGAGGTGGCCCAACTCTGCCGCCTGCCAGGCCTTAGCAGCACGTCCCCTTACCCCCTTGGCACACACTCAGGATCACCAGGCAGCCTGCATCCGGGCCAGTCTTTGGTGTGACGACCACTGCCTGTCACCACTGCCGCTGACATATCGGTCAAGATGTCAGATCTTGGCCGGTGGGGTGGCAGAGCTTCAACCTCGTGGTATTCCGGGCTCTGAAAAGTGCTACCTGCACCCAGAGGTCCAACCCAAATCAGGCACATGCCTACATTAGGCAGGCACATGTGGTGAGCCTGAAAAGGGCCAGGGCAGCAGGATGAGGCGACCCCCAGCAAGTCAGGCTCCGGTCCTCCCGGAGTCCACCGTGGCGTGCACCCCACATCCAGCTGGAGGAAGTGGTCAAGCGTGTCCACGATGGCCTGCTTGACTCCCGAGAGCTTTTCGCCCCAGCTCTCACCCAGCTTCCATTTGCAAGAGGGCAGCCCAGGGGCCCACTGAGTCCACCTCACTGAAGCCCACCCACAAGGCCTTCACTTGGTATTTTAGCTGGATTTGAATGTGTAAATTGTATAATACCTTTGTGTAAAGGTGTATAATTCCAGTTAGTCCCATATTCTGGTTACCTCTACTGAAAGGCCCTTTTTGGAATAAGCTTGGATTGAAATGAGTCCGTAAGCAACAAAACTGCCTCTGCTGGATGGTGCGGCGTCCGAGACACCCGTGGGTTCCAGTGCGCTGCCTCCCCTCTCCCCAGCTGCCGCGCGTCCCCACCCCCACGCACTGGGAGTGAGGAGCCCGCCACGCTGGGCTGCACTTCAGTTAGGATGCCGTGGGGACAGGCTGGGAGAGGAGGAGGAAATCTCCTAGGTCCTCTGACAAGGTTTTACTCTCCAGCTGAGTGGAAGGAGAGCAGGAAGGGGGGAGGAGGGGTTAAAGGTGGAAAATGCTTTTGGGTCTGAAAGCTATTTCTGTGCAAGCTGCATCCAACTGCTTGGGCTGATCTTCAAGCCCGGGCAGAGGCCCAGAGCTGGAGGAACGAAGCAGAGGAGCAGGTGGCAGATGGACCCAGACAGGGTTTCCTGAGCCGCGGCTTCACCTACGGTAGCTTCTGCTCGGCAACTGGGATGCGAAGGGACTTCAGATCCCTGCTGCTGTGGTTTCCTGAAATAATCTCGTCCCCCAAGAGAACGCTCACCCTTCCTGCCCTGTGCCGGAGGGACTGCTGGGGATGAGGGTAGGAAAAACAGGGCTCTGGAATGTTTCATATCCTGGGAGCAGACTCCGGCCTCCCTGTGGGGGCCAAACTGGCTGTGAGGGCACAGGGGTTCGGTTAGGGTCGGCAGGAAAGATCTCCCAGGTTCACAAGGGCTGTGTGGCCGCAGCAGGCCGAGGGTGGCAGACTGGGAACCCAGAGGTTTCACCACGACTGCAGGGGCTGCAGGGTTTCTTGCGGACTGGGGTGGGGCCCCCTCTCCCCTGGTCAGGCTCTTCCTGGAGATGAGGCCGGGGACACCGCGGCTGACAGCGGTGGCCGGGGTGGGCTCCAGCCCCAGCTCCTGGGAGAAAGGAGACAAGGCCGCGTGTTGTGGTTTCTGCCCAGCCCGTACAACCCGAGCTGGGGAGACTTTATTCGTTTGGGAGGGGGGCTGAGAACAGGAATGAGACGAAGTGTAAAAGTGGAAGGGGAGGCGCAATACTGTGTGAAAAGAGGAAGAACAAAATCTAGTACAACACGCAGGCCAACGCAAACTCAAGGAGCGGGGCAGCCACCATGGCCGCCTGGGGCCAAGCACACCCGGTCTCTTCTTTTGTCAGATTTGAAGAAAAGGGGAAACTCGGACTCTGGAGCGCTGAGACGAGCGAGGGGCTGACACTGACGGGCTGGCAGCTAGCACTGCCGCAGCCCTGCCTGGCCTGGGGTGGACCTGCCTGTGCCCACCTGCACTCATGGGTAGGGGGGTGGGGGACCGCCCTGCCCTTCCCTCAGGCCTCTCCCTGGGCAGGGAAGGCGGGAAGTGGAATGTCAGCTGGGGGCAGCTCTGACGCGAGGACTGCAGTCAGCAGGCCGACCCAGCTCTCCCTGCCCTGTGCCCCGAGGCCAGAGGTTGGGCCCAGGGGTGGTAGGTGGGAGGGGATGCTCCTGCAGCGATGCCCGACAACCACCCAGACACAAGGCCCAGGTGCCCACGGGCCGCTGGTCTGGCTACTGCCCAGAATCAGACCCAGCCCAGAGACCCAGAGACCCAGAGACGGGCAGTCAAGCCCCAGCTGGAGGGTGTGGGGTGTGAGGTGGCAGGGCTGAAGCCAGACACGGCCCCTCTGGGCGCTGCTCCTCAGAACTCTGGCCCTAGGCTTCCCCCCGTCAGACCCAGGGCTGGGGCTACCGCTGTCCTGACTTGGCCAGGCCCAGGAAGGGTGGGGTGGCTGGTGGGATGGGTGAAGGCGACTCTGTTGAGGCCAGGGGAGGGAGGGGACTGTCAGTGAGGCGGGTGGGTTGGCTGGCTAAGCCCGGTTTCCTTGTGCCAAGCACACGGAGCCCGGCTTTGGGGAACAGTCACCCAGCCCCACCCGATCCACCTTCATCCGGAAGCTTTCTCCAAGCTCACCTCGACCCCGCCTCAGCCAGCAGCCCGCACTCTGGGGGCAGTGGAGCCCAGGCTGAGGGCCGAAAGGCAGTCCTGAGTCAGGAGAGGAGCCCGGCTCCCTGCTCCTCACAGGCAGTGCGATGAGGTGACACTGAGGACGGTAGGTAACTAAGGCCCCGAAGTCCCTGCCTCTGCCTCCCCAGAACTCTGCAGCCAGGCCAGCCCCGGGGAGCAGAGCCTGTGTAAACACGCCCGGAGGGGCGGCGGGATTGCTACATAAGAGAAACAGTTAAAAATAAATTAAAAAGCACCGCTATATCCTGTGGTGGTCTCCACAGGCCCAAGGTCTCAGCTAGGAAGGGGGAGAGCTCAGGGGTTACCAGCGTGGGGTGGTCAGCTCCCTGCTCCCCAGAGGCTGTGGGTCGGAGCATCTTTCTAGGCTCCTGTGCCAGGAGCAGCTCCCCTGTGCCCCTGACCCGAGCTCCCAGCTCCCTCTCACCTCTCTTGCCCTCAAGCCCTGTGGTCCAACGAGGCCTCCAGGGCCATGTCCTCTGATGAGCGGCCTGCACGGGCACTCAGACACAGGCCCAGGAACAGCCTCGTTGTTGGCCTCACGCCTCCCCAAAGTGAGCCACATCTGCCTCAGATGAATGAGGCAATACTGGGACCACCACCCCAGTCGCCGAAAACTGGGATGGATGGTGAGTCAGCGGTCACAATGGCCGAGGTGTAGCCCAAGGGGGCAGGTTAAATACCTCCCCAGGGACCCATGAGGAGCCCAAGGGACTGGCCAGCTGGCCCCCTTGCTGAGCCAGACTCAGGGTTGGCAGCTGCTGGTTTGCAGAGCTGCCAGCCCCTGGTGCCTTCCCTGACTAGCACTTGCATCAGCAAAGGAAGTCTGTTTCCCTCCCTCCTCTTTCCTTGCTTCAGGGCACCGTCCATGCCCCGGGCGGGTCGAGAGCTGCAGTCTCTCCACTCCACTCCACCCCCTCTGGTGACAGGGCAGCCATGGGGTCTCTGGTGTGTCTCTGGTCTGCAGGGAGTGAGATGGAAGGACATGGGTGGCTGCCCACTCTGGGAGCCTCAGCAGCAAGGCCCTGCCCTGGCCCAGCCTGCCCCGGCCCGGCCTGTCCCGGCCCAGCCTGCCCCGGCCCAGCCTGCCCCGGCTCAGCCTGCCCCGGCCCAGCCTGCCCCGGCCCAGCCTGCCCTGGCCCAGCCTGCCCTGGCCCAGCCTGCCCCGGCCCAGCCTGCCTTGGCCCAGCTTGCCTGGCAAGCCTGGAACTTCCATACCTCCCATTCCCCAGCACAACTCTGTGCTGCAGAGATTACAGACCCACATGCTCCTTCATGTTGGTTTTTTAAATTTCCTGAACTGACTGCCAACATTTAAAAATCAGGGTATCTCACATAAAAATTCAGAGTTCTGGCCTCTAAAAAAATCAGAAAATCTGGCAATGCAGGGCTTGCACTCTGAGAAAAACTGAGCAGCTGCAGCTGCTTTAATGGGGTTAATGCCCTCTGTAGTTTGCTGCAGTCCTCACCCAGCCCTGCAGTCCTCCTTTTAATCACCTGCCCGGCTCTGTAAGGCATTTCAGTTTCTAACTGTAGTTCTGACCTTCCCCTTCCCAGGCTCCCAGCCCCCTTGCAGCCTTACTGACCCTGGCTGAATCATAGCCTCTCAGTAGAAAGGAACCATCCAGCTACGCTTCCATAACCCGACTCCTCTCAACAGCTTCCTGGCAAGCAGCCATCTAGTCGTTGCTTGAATACCTCCAGCAACAGGAACTCACTACTTCCCAAGGCAGCCCGACTCTACACTCCCCCCACATCCTTTTCTCACGTACCCCTCCCAGCTCTCAGGCTCTGCCCCTCCTCGGGGGCCACACTGTCCCCTTGCCCTGCTCCTCCTCCTCCTCATTGCCCCATCAACCGCTTCCCACAACCTCTCACCTGCCTGCCAGTTCCCTCGTGCCAGACAGGAAGGCTGCACAGACGCTGGCTGTTCAGGTTCGTCCCTGACAGCAGGCCCGATGGTCACTGGGACCCCCAGACCGAAACAGGCTGCTGACTGAGGGGAGGTGGGCCCGGGCACAAGCATTCCGGTCTGGTCATCATTCACCCAGCAAGGGCTGAGGCGATAGAAAGCCAGGAGGCAGGGCCCACCCGCTGGGGTCAGACCCAGGCCTGAGCGCATCACCCTGTCTCCGGCCACTGTTCCTGGACCCACCCGCTCTGCTCAGTCCCCACAATCACACTGAGCCCAGTGCAAGGCGGAGCCCTCAACAAAGCCTAGCGCTTCTGCAGGGAGCCCCAGGTTCAGCAGCAGGCAGAGCTGGCCTGAGCGGAAAGGGCTGGGTGCCCAGAACTCTACCCGCCGTGGTTCTCTCCTGGGCGCCAGTGGACAGTGTCTACCGGTGGTACCGTCCGTCCACGGGGCTTCTGGGCCACGGCCTTCCACACTTGGGAGAGGTGTCAGCTGTGCCACCACACGTGGGCCACGCAGACCTCTCCCAGGATGCTTTCTGCCCTGCTTCGTCTTCCCTGGGTCGAGCGAGATGCTGCCAGGGCAGATGCAAGCCGAGGAACACCCCCATTGCTGTGCCCCCCGCCACAGGCGCAGCGGGCTGGGAGAGCTCCCGCACAGGGATGGGCCCAAGTCCCAGACAGTCGCCAGGGGCAGGGGGACCCGCAGAGCCAAAGGCCCTCCCTGCCCAGCCTGGGGGCAGTTAGATCTCCTAAACACTGGCCTGCCAGCCATCGGCAGATCTATTCCATTTTTAGTTTTCTCCAAAAATCGTAAACTTTAGTTGTCAAGTTAAAAACTCGAAATAAAATACTAACTGCTTCTCGGCCCGAAGCTATGAGGCTTGGCCCAGCAGGAGGGGCAGCAGCTCGGGTGCCTGAGCTGGAACATGCTCTTCCTGCAGCCTCTCACTGGCCCGTCACCAGCCCTCCCGTCCCCGGGCCAGGCTGGCTCTGACAGGTGATCCTGGCCCCCAGGAGTGGGTGAGGCCGGGGTGCTGCCACCACCTCACACCCGGATCTGGTACCCGTTGAGGTCCGGCATGGCTTTGGGCTCCGGAGGCTTCTTCTCCCCTGACGGCCTGTGGGGGGAGAGAGCAGAGGAGGGAGAAGGGTGAGTGGCCCCTCAGGGAGGGGGGGGAGGGGGGGCAGTGGCGGCTGCCCTGGGTGTCTGTCCCACCTCCACTCTCCAAGGGGCCTGGATGCGGCAGCAGAGTTGAGAGGAAGAGCCCGCCTGCCTGTGCGGTCCTGAGGGTGGTCCAGTGCTCTCTTACAGGCTCCTGCTCTTTGCCGGGGGTCAGCTAGTCGGGGCACAGTTGGCCGTAAGGGGAACCTGCTCTCTACAAAGTTCTCCTAGATGAGTGACTGACGCTGGATATCGGAGACCTGCATGGAGTCCCTGAATCATACCACACAGGCGGCTGCTGGATGACAATGACGCTGAAAGCAAGAACCAGACCGACAGGTAGAAGACAGATTGGAGGTGGTGGTGTGGCGTTTTAATGGGATGTGTCTGCCATCTAGATAGAGGCAAAAGCCACAGACTCGCAGGGGGGAAAGCTATGTCTAAAGCTGTCTACCAGCTGCCACGTGATGTTCACATCATTCCCAACGATATTCCTGGGAGAACTCACCCTCTGGCAGGGGCCCACCCTCCGCTTCTCCCTCCCACACACGCTGGCCCCAGACCTCGTGCCCAGCACCAGGGTAACCGGTGGGCCGTTTAAGTGTTGCCTTCTCTGGGGAAACGGGACCACCTTGCTGCTGGAAGGTGGGAACACGCAAACACGCAAACCCATCATCTCAAACCACCTCCTTCCAACAGGGGCGAAAGAGAACAGTGGGAACGAGAACAGTGGGGTGAAAAACAACGGCGACCTAGAAGATGAGAGGAAAGGAAAGAGCCTTTTCCCAGCCTCCCAGGCTGGACCCATCACTCACCGCCTTTCGCTGCGGCTGTTCCTGCGGTGGGGGCTGGACTGGCCCCGCTGTGGGGAGGACACGTCCTTCTTCCGGTCCTTGGTCGGGGAGGGTGGGCCGGTCCCTTTGCCGATCTTGGTGGGGAGGAAGAAACAAAGAAAGGATTGCTGCAGGGCTGCTCCAGGGCCCATCCTGCCGCAGGACCCTGGGGCTGCACCAGGCAGGACCCAGGAAGCTCAAGCAGCTGCCCTGCCCCGTCTCCAGGTTCTCCTCACCCTGTTTTCTAGGCACCGAAGCTGCCGGGGCAGGGGTTCCTCGGCAGGCTGCTCAATCCCACCTGGCCCCTGGAACAGGGTGGACGTGGGGGCAAGTCCCTGAGCTTCCATGACACTACAAGAGGTCCTTGAGAAAAGGGCCATTTCCCCCGCCAGACAGACGTGCCTGCTGGGGAGGCAGCCCGCCCATTTCTGGGAGTTGGGCTGCGGTGCTCCCAGCCCCACGGATGATACTGGTTATCTCTAGCCAATCAGAAGCTCAGACTGGCAGCTATTAAGAAAGAGTTGAGAAAAGAAAATGAAGTACCCTTTATTATATACAGTCAGCTTGACCTGAATTTTGAAAACATGGGGTACACTGTGGGGATGCTGAAGAGTGGCAAATAATATGGGGAGTCCTTAGCACCCAAAAGATTGGGAATCACAGCACTAAAGAAAGACTAGGTGTCCAATGGTCTCAACTCAAGGTCCAACCTGCTCCCTCAAAGATGCAAAATACTCCAGGTGCAGGAGCCCGGGAGCTGGCCAATCAGAGCCACAGAGGGAGGGTCAGCTCAGGGCAGAGAAGGGAGGCCCCTGAAAATGGCAGGTGGGCTGCAGCTGGGTTCTCCCTGCGGGGAGGTGCTGTCACCCCATAAAGTCATGGTCTAAGGGCTGGCAGGGCAGGGCCTCCTGGGGCGGGGCCGTGGGGAGCCTCAGTGGATGTGAAAGTGCCACGGTCTGGTTTCGGCACCAGGCTGTCGGGAGGGGTGGAGTCCCTGCACAGCAGTGACTGAGAAATGGGAGGGGCTGAGTGTCCAGGAAGGGCCTGGCCGGCCTCAAGGGAGGCACCCTCAGTCCAGGGGGACCCAGGGAGAGGCTAAGATTCTGCATACTGTGAAGGTGGAGGGGGAAACTCCTCAACAGCTCAGCCCACCTGCTCAGGGGACAACAGCCCCTCCCCCTCCTGCTCTTTGGGGTGGGAAAGCAGGAGAAGGAACTAGTGTCTCATTGTCTTCCCGTGGTCTTCCTTCCTTCCTTCTTTTTCTGACTTCCTCCTAGTCTTTCATTGGAGGGGGTGGCGTGTTCAGAGGGCAGGAGTCAGGATGCCCAGAGGGAGGTGGAGGCTATCTCTACCCAAGCCTACCACTCCCCACAGATGCCGTGACTTCCCACGGATGGATCTCTACTCACAGACCTTTACCCTCCCCCGGAGTGCGGCAGCCCTGCCCTTCCCAATGTCCCAGGCCTGCCCACTCCCCAAACCCAGCTCACCTGCCGCCTCCTTCAGGAGCCTTCCCTGGCCCGCCCACCTGAGGCGACTGTTTCGACACAGGGACCTCTGAGCGAAGACACTGCTGAAATTTCCCACCCCCTGTCTCCTGTGCAGTAGCAGTGAGGGTGGGGCGAGGGGGTGATGGTATCCCCCCTAGGAAGCGGCAGCGCATCCCATTCCACCCCGCGGCACAGCACCTTTTGCGCATGGGCAGAGCCGGCGCTGACACTGACCTTGAGCCGCATGTCACGGGCGTGCCGCTCCAGCTCCTTGCGGAAGTCCTCGCGGCCCAGCTTGTCCACGTCCAGAACGGAGTGCTTCCACTCGATCTGCTCCACGCTGTGCGGGTCGTGCGACACGCACTGGCCCAGCTTCACCTTCTTCAGCACGTGCCAGCACCGCCCGTAGGCGGCCTCGTAGTCCAGCACCAGCTCGCTGAGCGTGCGGAAGGCGGGCGGCTTGTACATCAGGTCCTCGCGCCGGCTCATGCCCAGCGCCCCGTAGCGGCCCCCGAAGTTCACCCCCAGCACAATGTGGCGGAAGTAGTTCCCTGAGAAGTGGGTCTTGAAGCTGATGGGGAAGCGTTCCAGGGTCGGCATGCTGTTGGTGAGGTAACTGGCATTGGCAGCCCAGCTAAGGAACCAACCAGGGAGAGGCGCCGGGCTGGCACGCAGGGGCAGAACTGGGACCCCACGACCCCTACCCCAGGGCACAGCCCGAGTGAGTGGCCCCTAGGCCCCTGGCACCGTGCCCTGCTCACCTCCATTCCCTGTTGTCTAGCCTTGAGCCTGGCATACAGTAGGTGCTCAATACACCGAATCTCTAGGGGGCAGAGTCTCAGTGGTTAGTGGCTGCCGCTATGCCGCCACGCACAGCTCACAAAGTAACAGCTAATAGTGAGTCCCTCACTCCAAACTGCGGGCTCTCCGAAGTCCCTGCGGCTGAAGGAGGCAGGAGAGGCCTGCTGGCTGCCACCCTGCCTCCCTCTCTCCTTCTGTGGGTCACACACACACTCCTCACCCCCACGTTCTCTCTCGGGCACGTTCTCACATTTCCTCCCTCTCACGCATAGGTGTGCGCTCACAGATGCAGACAATCCTGTTCTCTTCCGCCCCTCCCGCTCCCCACACACATTTACCGAGCACTGTCCTGCAAATAAAGCCTGGCCCACGCTCACTCCGACTCCTCCCCTCACTCGCAGTCCACCCGGATTTCCTCCAAGGACCTTCCACACCAGCTTTCCCCAGAAGGCTGCCCGCCACCCCCACCAGCTGTTGACCGACCGCTCCTTCTCACGCCGCCGTAGGTGTGGCGTCACCACTGACCTCCCTTTCTACGGCAACTCTGCGCTACTCTTCATCTTGCCCATGCACACTCGCCACGATCTGTAGTTACTTGTTTACTTTCTGTCACCCCGCTGCAATATACACTTGAGAATGGGGGCCTTGTCCATCACATCCTTTGCTGTATCTCTGGGGCCCAGCCTGGAGGCGGGGACATAACAGTTCCTCGGTAAAAACTCTTCTTGAACGGGTGGGTAAAAGATGAACGAGATACAGGCTCGGAACAGATTTTGTGTGCAGACACTGTGGCGAGCATCCTGTATGTACCCACTCACTCCGTTGTCCTGGCAACCTGTGCGACAGGCGCGATGCTGCCGAGGCTCATAGATGTTAAGGAAATTGCTAGGGGTCACACGGTCAGTCAGTAGGTGGCAGAACTGGGACTCAGGGACCCAAAGTCTTTGCCCTCGGTCATTATCACCCTTCCTGAGCCCTGGCTCCTTGCAAGGGACTGAGGACACGGAGGTGAGGAGGCGCAGCCTGGGGTGCAGAGGATGAGGCACAGGGACAGACTCGGCACGGTGGCCAGCACGTGTGCAGCAGGGGTCCTGGGGGGGGCCCTTCCTCCGGATGGGGGCTGTCCTGTTTTCTTCCCACCCACGAGACACCAGGTAGCCCCCGAAAGGCCTCTGAGATGACGTGATCTTGCGTGATCCTTTTGTGTGTCTGGGGGGAAGGGAGCAGCCTCCCTCCTCCGTGTGTGTGGGAGCCCCACGTTGGTGTGTGACCCCTGGAGGAGAAGCAATGTGGGGTCATGGAGGGGATGCGGGCAGTGGCCCGAAGTGCTGAGGCTGGCCTTATGCTTGACCCGCAAAGAACCCTTCAGACAGGGCAACGCTTGTCAGGCTCTTGGAGATGGGAAACGACGGGCACCAGAGACTGAGCTCCGGGGACCCCTGGGGAAGGGGCACCAGTCCCTCCCGTCTCCACAGTCTCTTGGTGTAACTTAAGGCAGCTCGGTCTGCGAGGGGGGGGGAGGGTGGACCCCACGGGTCACAGTCTCCTCCGAAAGGCTGTGCTCCTCCCCTCTGACCAGCTCCTTCTTCCTGATCTGTTCTAGCGAGGACGGACGCAAGCCCCCTCCCCTCATCCTCTCTGCACAGAGCCTGGCGCCTGCCCCCCAGGTGGCAGGCAGGATACTGAAAAGCCGGTGGCACTAGGGGAAAGGGGGAGATGGGGGGGACACACATAGATGAATCAAGACTGGCCTTGAATGGGTAAAACTGAGTGCTGGGCACATGGAATTCATCACATTGGTCTATGTTCACACAAGCTTCACATTTTCTCTAGTGAAACAAAACAAAAAAGGGCGGGGCTCTAGCTCAAACCAATTAAGTCAGAGAGCCGGCCATACACACCTGCCACCCTGCCCTGCCCTAACTGGGGGCTCGTCTGCCCACCTCGTGGCCCAGCTGGAAGTCCCAGTCCTGCCTTCTGGGTGGGGGTGACAGAGAAACCCTATTTGCTTTTTTCTTTCACAGCAGGCAGCTGTTTCAAAGATTCCATCCAACAGCTCCACAAATCAACATGTTCTGGAAATGTCAACCTTTGGGCACCAAACCTGCTTTCCCCAGACTGGTTCTCGGAAATGGCACAACAGCCTTTGTGGGATGATGTGCCCTGATTTGGGGTTCAGAGAACAGGGTCACTGTGTCCACGTGACTCAAAAAGGAGCTTGCAGTGAGCCCAGGAAGCTAGCTTCTGAGGCACGGGGGGGCTGAGACCCCCTCAAGCCCCTCCACTTTACAGCCAAGTTCATGACTTCTGGGAGACAGTGCTGGGGGAGCCCCGGAGCCCATCGGTCCTCCCCTTCCAGAGGAGGAAGCTGGGGCCCAGGGGGCTAAGGAAGGATACATTCCCAAGATCACAGCTTCCAGGCATTTGATTGGCAGAGCCTCTTTGGTCATTTCCTTGGCCAGGTCCATCAGCCTGGGGGGCAGGAAGGCAGAGACATGAGTGTGGAGCCCCTGGTACTTTCCAGTGAGGGAGCAGGTGGACTAGAAATGCCAGCCCAGAGACCCCAGGTCCCTTCCAAGCTGCCTCAGCTCAGGCCCAGCACCTCCCTCCCCTCCCCCACGTCCATCCTGAGCCAGAGAGGGTGGGGGAAGAGGCAGTCACTGAAGATAAGGAAGGAGGCCCCTTCCCTTCCCTCCTTTCACTTCCTCCCCCCAGCCCAGGCTCCTGCTCCAAAGACCTCTGGGGGCGGGGAGTGTGAATGGAGGACATGCAGTCACAGGCAGCGCATGGACCGCCCTGGGCTGGGGGGGCCTTCTGCAGTGGTGGTGTGGGGCCGTGGGAAAGCATGCCACAGATGCTGGGAGCCTCGGCATTGCTGTCGTCCCTTCTGGAGCACAGGGGACACCCCTGATTCAACCGTGGCATCCCCAAAGAGCCTGTGATTGATTGCTACTACTCCCCCACAGCTGGCCAGCTGCCTGGGGCCAGGACATGGCATCTCAGGCAGTTCGCAGGGTGACTCCCCAGCCTGCGCCTGAACTTGGAATTCAGGCCACTTGAAGACAGCCTGTTCCCGAGGCCTCCTTCCTCCCTCCTCACTGACTGCTGCCTCCAGGTCTGGGAATGCAGCCTGGCCACTGGCTTCACCCAGGAGGGTGCTGGACTCCTCCACACCACGGAGGGTGGAGCTGGGCCCCGGCACACAGCAGCCAGAGGACAAGAGCAAAGCTTTTGGGATGAGGGAGGCTGGATTCTGCCCAGGGGCTTGAAGGGGACAGGGGTAATTAAGTTATGCAGCTAATAAACCACCTGGAGAATTTTTCGTGAGAAGGTGAACATGGACAGATTACGTGGACATGGAGCAAGATGTAAACTTCATGTCAATTGTTAGAACATGGGGTTTTGAGCCTGTGGATGGCTTTGGGCTGAGCCCCCAGGCCCAGGGAGGAAGTGGCACTCACTCCTCACTCTCCTCTGCCCTCGGGGCTTCTGCAGGGTGAACCCAGCCAGGGGTCTACACGTTGGATGGTGGATTAGGAAGTGAGAGCTGCACCGGGGTCCCTGTGGCTCAGACACTGGGCCTTGTACTAAGTGACCAGAAGAGTCCAGTAAAGCAACTGGGGTGACTCACAGGTTCCCTGCAATGGACAGCACTCTCTCTTGCTGGGCCCACATCTCATTAAAAAAAAAAATAAGGCTTATATACAGACGTCTACTTGGGACCACCCTCTGTCATTGCCAAGGCAAGCTGGGGGCTGCCTGTCCTTCTCCCAGTGCAACATGGGTGTTGAAGCTCCCTGTTCGTCATGGGAGCCCTTTTCTCCCTCTCGGACACAGCTCCTGCTTTCTGGCATCCTTAGGGCCCCCATGGTGTGCAGAGGAAGAGACAGGCAGTGCAGCGGGACAGCTGCCCCCGCTGGCATGCCCCCTTGGGAGAGGCCCTGCCTGCCTCACGAGCTCCCACCCACAGGCCCCCCGAAGGGCTCCAACCTGCCGAGGGGCACTTGGTGTGGAGGGGCACTTGGTGCAGAGGGGCAGGGCGTGCCCACACTTACCCTGTGAGGGGCCTGCTCTTCTTAATTTCAAAGAACTGGGTCCCTGTGTGATTGTATCTGCAGTCCTGGTTAAGGGCTTCCTGGCTCGGTGTGGAAGAGGTGCATCCCACTCCCCGAATCTGTCCCCCAGACCCAAGGGTCCAGCACTCCCCGGGGGCGGGGCAGCCTCCTAGGGGCACCAGGAGGATGCTTGTCCAGACCTGACGTCTGGAGGGTCGTGCGCGTCTCCTTCCCCACACAGTCCTTCCCTGTCTCTCCAACCCTCTCTGGCTTGCACCCCTGCTCTCCCCTCGCCTTCCCTCCCAGGACGGGGCCATGGAGCAGACAGCCAGGCCACCCAGTGCTGGGAAAGTGGTGGGGCTCTAGACAGCTCCGAGAGGCAGCATGAACCCAGGGAAGGTGGGGCGGGGAGGGTGTCCAGTCTGGCTAAAGTGCAGGGTGCTGCTCCCGAGCTGAACCCCTCCCCTCTCCAGGCCAGCATGTCCCCACTGACAAAAGGGGGACTGGATCTGACTTTCAATAATCAGCCTGGCTTTTCTCTGGCGCACGACCTGATCCTTCCACTGCTGCCTCCCCTTTAGCTGCAAGGCTGTGGGAGAGACCCGAGGACGTACAGGGCGGAGAGCAGAGGGCGGAGGGGCCCACAGCAGGGACACCGTGGCATCTGGGGCTTGTGGGGGGGGGCAGCTCTTTCCATGCTGGGCAACTGGCCCCTGCCAGGTGAGAAAGGCAAAAAACTGGGAGAACATTCCAAGATGTGATGTGGATGTTACCTCCCAGAGCATAAAATCCTTTTCCTCTGCCATCTGCACCCCACCCTCGACCCCCCACTGCCTTTCAAACTACTAGTTTTTAAACGTCCCCAAGGGAGCCTCCCCTCTCTTTCTGCTGGGCTGGATGGACGGCAGGCAAGGTCTGGGCTGGCGTACCTAGACGTGGCCACGCACCAGCAGGTCACTCAGGAGACATTTGCCCGTCGCACTGAGGAGAGGAAGTGGTGGCAGACGGTGGGTCTGGCACTCATCAAAGTCCCTCCTACACCTGCGAGCACTCGCGCTGGGCCGGCATGGCTCCAGGGGTGCAGAGGTTCCCTGTGTACGGCAGCCCTGGAGCTGTGGCGTGAGGCCGCTCTGCTGCCACCTCTCCAGCCCAGTTTGAAAACCAGCCCCACTTAGCCTGTGGACCAGCACGCCAGCCAGCCAGCCAGTGGCCGTGACCCCGGACCTGGGAGGATACTGCAGCTCCCTGATGTAGCGCTGCACGGCTTCCAGGCGCTCAGGGACGGGCGTGGAGGGCTGGAACGTAGGCACAGTCGGTATGGGGATCTAGGGACGGAGAAAGAGCCCCGGTCAGTTACCCCAGAGCAGCTGCGTGCGAGGGGGTGTCCCCGCTTCCCTCCTACCCTGAGCCTCTCTCCTTGGCGACCTTCAGGGAGGCTCCTGTCAGACGCCCCCAGTCCTCTCCTGCCCAGCCCTGGACAGCCTTCCTCATTTGGAGCTTATGCTGATGTTCCAATTTGTGTTTCTTAAATAATTTTAGAAAAACACAGGTTGACTCCCTGACTGTTCTGAATTTCAAATATTCATTAACTTTAAAGGCTTAACAAGAATGTCAATATTGCAGTTAAGTTCATTTGGATGAACTTCCCCTGGGCTACAGAACAGACTTCTTTGGGCAGAAGAACCAGATTTCCAGGAACAAGTCCCACTCCTCCGGGCTCCCCCTTGGCTTCCAGCACTGCCAGCTGTCAAGTGGCCTTAAGCTCCTCACACGGAGAGGTCCCACCCCCTGGTCCGGCTCTCCCTCCCACGGAGCCCACTCAGCAGGCCGGGGCCGTAGAGAGTCCAAGTCTGGTGGGTAGGGTGGGTGTGAAGGGAAGGGGTAAAGCAGGAGCCCCATGGGAGCTCGGGGTAGGGCTGGGGTGGGAGAGGCCCTCCCTATAGTGAGATGCTGCACCCGCTGGGCACAGCCTTTTAAACAGCGTGGCTGCAGTGGCCGGGGCTCCGACACGCAGGGAGTGACACACAGTGACCACTGCACACTCCCGTCTGCGGTGCTGCTGACGGCCAGGGACTCAGGACAGCCTGTGAGAGACACCTGCTCCCTCCCAAGGGCCCAGATGCAGGAGGGAAGGCCCAGAAGGGACAGCTCTGTAGGCACTTCCTCTCCCCCACCCCCTCCTCCTCCTCTCCTCCCCGTCTGGGCAGTCCCCTGGGCGGGCGGACACCTCTGTCTGTAAGGAGCCATTTCCCCTTTCACATCATCACAGCTGCCCAAACTGGTGCTACCACTTAGTCACTAGGAGAGAAAAGTCCCAGGATAACAGGGAAGTTCCCTTTTCCTGCCTGACCACCCTGTGCCAAAAGGGCACCAGAACTCTCCAAGGGCCTGGCCTGACCTCCCCGGTGTGAGGATATGGGGCGGAGGAGGGAGAGGAATTACTTGCATTTTACTACAAACAGCGTGACATGTGACCTCCTCGAGGGGAAGATCCCTGAGAGACCACCCTCCACTTCTCCAGTGAGGAGAAGGCGTCCAGTGGTTTCCAGGAGCTCTGGCTACAGACTAAGGGCACCCTCCCTTGAGACCCTCCATACAAGGAAGGAGCTGCAGTCCAGGGGTTCCCTGCCTGAGCTCACCCCAACCCTGGGCCAGGGCCGGGCAGCATGCATGAAGACATCCCCTGATGTCCAGACAGAGGGCCCCGGAACTGGCTGCTCTGGGAAGAGGGAATGACTTCAAAAGAGTTAAAAAAAAAAAAAAAGATCACTGAGGCCCATCTGGAAGGAGCCTTCCGGCCAGCTCCATGACTCAGGCCGACTCCCACTGCAGACAGCGCGGACTGCGTTCTTCCGAACGCTCAGAAACTTACTCGCTCAGAAACAAGTGGCTTTCTGTACGTCCAGGTAACCTCCCACTAGCAGGACTGGTAGCCTGGATTTGCCCTGACCCCTTCCTCCAAACCAGGAGCCAGGAAATGCTTCCTCACTGTCGAGGGTCAGAGTACAGTGGGGGTGAATGATATTGGCTTCCCAGGTCTCTTTAGGGACAAATTCTTCTCCACTACCAAGGCCAAGGGTTACCCTTGCTGCAGGAGCTGCCGAAGTCCTGAGTGCTGTTCAGTCATTCTACCTGGTGAAGTCTGTTTCGCACGTGCGAGCATATACTTTCACCTGTCCAGCACAGCAGGGAGGCTGGGGGAAGGCGGAACAGGCCACAGCTGAGTGTGTGGGCGAGAAGCACACAGCCCAGAGGTGGAGAGAGCAGCTCCAGAACCAGACCATCAGTGTCGAAATCCCAGCCCTGCCATTCACTGTCTGCATCGCTCCTTAATATCTCTGTGACTCAGACGCCTCCTTTGTAAAAGGAGCATCACAACAGAACCACCCTCATGGTGTAAACGAGGCAGGGCCAGGCAAAGCTCAGCTCCTGCTCGCTGTCACTGTTACTCCAGTGCGTGGATCCACTTAGAATCAGCTGTCCTTTAACATACCGGCACCAGCCTTCTAAGGGATGTTTCCCCAGAGCCCCTGTGGAGTGGCTGCAGCCTCAGTTCTTGCTCCGTTTGTTGGGTATGAATTACACGCTCATCTGTTTCACACGCTTTTACTTCGTCAATTCCTCCCAGCATCCTTGGAAACGGATATTGCCATTGTCCCCATTTTGCAGCTGTGAAAACCGAGGCACGGGGAGCCTGCAGAAGTCATCACATAAGTCATCGTGGGAGAACCGGGGTTTTAACATGGCGGAGCTGACTGCAGACCTCTCGTTGTATCACGAGGCACAGCGGGGATCCCAGACTCAACCAGCTGCAGGGGCCACTCAGGGTACCCGAACGGGGGAGGCAGGATGGAGTGAGAGGGGAGACCGTCGCCAGCTGGGGGAGGGCGCCGCTCCTCAGCTCCAGCTGCCGCGGCCACATGGGAGCACAGACTCTCGAGCTCAGATCTTCCCATTTTCCGAAGAGGTGCCAAAAACCTGGATCTTCATGTGAAATCTCCCAATTTAAAATTTGCAAGTGGTCTTCTTAAACACTGTGCTGTCCCAATAAAACATCTCTTGGGCCCACCTTGGTGTGACCCCTGCAGAGAATGCCTCTGTCCCAGCTGCAAGGGCACGGCCACTCGGGGAGGGCCTGGTCCAGGGATCAGTCCGCTTTGCTGCTGGCACTCTGGGACCCAACCACGGATGTCTCTGGGGCTCTAGGGCTGCTTTCTTCTCTGGGCCAAGGTCAAGGAGGAACCCCACACAAACTTGGGTGCATTTTCTCTCTGTGACACTCTTTCCTGTGGTTTGAAGGGGGGAGGTTCCAAATCTCCCCAATCTCCTCACAGAATTCCTTCGACACTACTACACTCCCACCAGTCATAACACACACTCCCCCCAAACAACAGCTTCAATCCTTCACCGGTGTCTTTCCTATACATGAAGGTTGAGGATGGCAAGATGACATTATAGGCCAGCTGCTAATAAATTCATTGATTTATTTTATTTTATTTTTTTTTAGTTTCCAGGAGAACCATTCACACCCTCCCACAGCCTGGTTTAGACGAAAGCAAGATGGCGGGAGAGCTGTCTGCTAACACCAGCTTGGTCACGTGGGAGAAACTGCAGCGAGGCGTGTGGCCCTGGCCCCACTGGCACGCGTGCCGCGTGTGATCTAGCCTCCCTTCCCGACCAAGGGCGAGAAAAAGGAAAGGAACACCCAATAACCAGTCTCGGCTTGAGGCTTCAGTGTATCAGATGTTCTAACGTATACCCCCTCCTGTAACCTTCTCCACAATCAACTCCACATACGGGCAAACTGCGGCTCAGACAGGTTCGAGGGACCTGCTCGAGGTCAGATACGTGAGCAGTCTGGTCCCAATGGTTGCATCCTTTGACTCAATACTTTCTGTTCTAGGAATTTATCCCAAGGAAATAACCAGAGGTGGATCCCAAAATTTACATTTTAAAATGTTCCCATGGTATTCATTTTTAAGAATATATTCCTGAAAAAATGTCCATCCGTAGTGATATGCTAAATAAATTCTAAATTAGTACAGAGGGCAAATGTGTGAGCTTCACAATCAATCCACTTTTGCTCTGGCCTATGTGGCTCAGTTGTTTGGAGCGTCATCCCATAAACTGAAAGGTTGTGGGTTCAATTCCTGGTCCGAGTACATACCTAGGTTGCTGGTTCGGCCCCAGGTTGGAGCAAGTACAAGAGGTAAACGACTGATGTTTTCCTCCCTTCCCCTCTCTCTATAGCCAATAAGTATGTCTTCAGGTGAGAATAAAACAATAAATACCAAAATCAATCCACATTTTATTTCCTCTGGAAACATTAGGCAGTTGTTCAAATTTCAACCTCCAAATTCCCTTTTCCCAGAAGACGGCTCCTCGTGGCTATTTTACAAATAAGTTGGTAAAAGCAAAACAGAACACTCTTCTCAAATCCACTTTAACTGTCACTCTTTCCAGCCCCCGTCCTGCTCACCTGAGCAGCGAGGACCAAGCGCTGGGCTCCTGACCTCAGTCTGAAGGGCTTTTCTTTCTGGGGATGTCGGGCCTCTGCATTTGTCTTAACCGTAAGTTAACCGACTGCATCAGTTAACCATAAATGTTGGAGGGGAAAATCAGGCATGCATTTCCACGGTACAGCACAGAAAGCCTCAAGCGCCCTTTCCCTGAGCAAACGCAGGAGGCCTCAGAAAGACAGAGATGAAGGAGACGGGCTGGAGAGAGCTGTCCCGGAGAAGTTCTGGCTGTGCACAGAAAACTCATCGGACTTCACCCCTCTCCACAGGCCCTCTTCTAACTGTCCCGACCCAGTGTCCAGCAGAGCAGATGCTCTGGGTCCCGAAGACTCTGGACTGGGTCCCAGTTCCACCACTTACTGGTTATCTGACCCGGAGCACCGGCTTGAGTTGTCCTGCTTCCCATTTGGAAAAGGGGTCCCCAAACTGGATTTACTTCCCAAGGCTGTTGGGGAATGCAGTGCGATAACACCCGAAAAATAATTTCTCAATGTATGAAGCCCCTGTAGCCACCTTAGTCATACAGAATCTCAGCCCACAGTTCTCTGGCTTAGCAAATGAGATGTCAAGCCACATTAGCGTACTTGTTAGTGTGCTGCCCTGCTCACAGAGCGTGGGCCTTTTAAAAGAGATGAAGGAGGGTCTCTTGGAAAAAGGGCATGCGAACCTCACAGAACCACCTCAGATGCAGTTGGGAGAAAGTTCTTCTGGACAGGTTCAGAAGAACTTTTAGAAAATCCCACTAAGCCAGTGGTGCCCTACCCCACCAACGAAAGTGCTTTCCCAAACTCAAGATTATAAAAACCCTAGATTCCCCCCTACCCCCCCGGCCCCCAACACACACCAACTACTCACCTTGGGCAGGTCCGTGGCTCCACGGATCCGCTGGGCCACCTTTTCTCCATCGGGGTGGATCTTGGCCACGTGCTTCCACATCCTTTCCCAGGTGGCCTCGTCCACGGGCAGCCCACCCCGGTTAACAAAGAAGGGGACACCTCCATCTCGCAGGTCCTCTTCCCCTTCCTCCTCTGGCTCATCATCTCTCTGGGCCGAAGCTCCTTCGTTGGTCTCCAAATGCCTGACCCCAGAGGAGGCTGCAGCGGCAGTAGTGGGGGCAGCAGCGCCCCCCACCACCTTCTTCCCTCCTGGCATCCCAGAATCCTTAGGGGGGGTGGAAGGAAGTATGGGAGGCAGGAAAAAATAGGTGGCTCACAGGAGGCCTCCCACACACCGGCTGCAGAGATAACACATGGCCAAACAGAGTGCAAGGCGCCTTTAAGAAACCAGGGCGTGGCTCCAGTACAATAAAATACTATTAGATAAGAAAAAAAAAAAATCAGTGCCTCAATGGGAAGTGGAAGGGCAGAGGGGGTTGGTGGTCTGGGGTAAGCCTTAGAGGCCTTGTATTCTTTGAAAAACGGGATAAAGAGAACACACCCCAACTTGGCGGCCTTCTGAAAGCACCCCCATTTGACAGCGAGAACAATAACGGGCAGCAATCTGGGTTTGCAAAGAGGAGAAAAGTCGGGGCGGTGAGGGGGGCGGGCAACTGAGGTCAGACAGCTCAGACCGTGGCCACAGAGAGGGTCAAGGCACAGGTGCCTACTCTGGGCTGCCCAGGTCCTAGTTTTTGAGAGAACAAATTCCTCTACAAAATACCACACACTCACACCTGAGCGCTTAGGAGGGGAGGGGGTACCGAGGGGGCTTCAGGCCGCATCAGCCCTGAGCCTGGACCACCCCGACCCGGGGCAGCGAGGGGACGCGATTTCTTCACCGCGGCCAGTCCCGGAGCCAGGACTCGCATCTGGCGGGGTGCGGAGAGGGGGCACGCGCCGACGCGCACATTCCACGCCTGCGGCCAACTCCCCGCACAAAGTGGGCTTTGTTTCTGCCCCCTCTCCCCTCGCTCCCAGGAAGCTGCAGCAGAGCCCCTAGAAGGGGGAAGGGTGCGGCGTGGAGAGCCTCGGCTCCGCCGGTCCCCTGCCGGGCGCGTCTCAGCGGGCAGAAAGCGGCCACCCAGCGCGGCGCTGCGTCAGCCGAGCCATCACCGGGCGCGGGTCCCTCTCTGCGGCCCGGGGCTCAGCGGGGTCGCCCCGGGAGGCAAGCAAGGGGCTAGTCTGAGGTCAGCGAGGGGCTGGCTCCGGCTGCGGGGTCGCCGCCCCGGACTAGCTGTAGCATGGGCGGTGGCGCGGCGGAGGCGGGCGAAGGATGCTTCGCGGCTGCTCGCTCGGGCTCCAGCGGCCGGGGCTAAGGGGGTGGAGGAAGGATCGGCGGGGAGGGGAAGTCCGGGGGCTCGCGCAGTCCCGGCCCCGCGGACGGAGCTGGATGCGAGTGATAAAGCCTCGGCGAGCACGAGCTGCGCTAGTCCCCGGAGAGCAGCCCGCAGAGCGCAGGGTGCACACGCAGGTCGCGGCTCCCGCGACTAGGCAAAGCTGGGGCCGCCACCGTCCCAGTCACCCCCGGGCCCAGGCGCTGCCGGCTGCGTCCCTTGCCCTCCCGCCGCCCACCCGGCTGGGCTCAGCCCCGCGCGCGCATGCGCTCTGTCCCCCCCTTAAAGGGCCAGTGCGTTCCCGGCTGGTCCTCCGCCTCTGACTGCCATCTCTCCGCCCCAAGTTACCTCTAGGATGCGGGCGGGCGTTCGCTCGCCTCTTACCCCTCTCTCCCGGCGCGGTGAAGCTGGTGCGGAGCCGCGGAAGAAGTTTACAGTATGCCAAACTGTGCGCAAACTCCGGGGAGATTCCGGGCTCAGGAGACTCGCGGTCGGGAGTTTCCTAAGGGGAGTATCTCGCAGGGACCCTCAGGGTGTAGAAGCGAGAGCATGGCGTGAAAGGCCGGGGTTCTGGACGCATTCGGCGTCTATTTTCCGGTGGGCCGTCTAACAGGTCACTTTCCTCTGCGGGCCTCAGTTTGCCAGCCAGTCATCCGAGGTCGTCAAACTGGGTGCGCGTGTAGAGCCCTTCCGGCCTGCTCTTCCCTAAAAGGTAGATATCTGGGGGTTATGGTAACTATCTCTGGAAGTGAAAGTGTTAAAAATCACTCTGTTCCACTTCACGACCTGCAGCAATAGGAGCAGGGTGCATAGGGTTCGACCTTAGTCCGCCTGGACACGGCTCTGGGGCCCCCGCGTCCTGGCAGGGAGCAAGCTGCGTGCGCCCCAGTGTCTTGGGATGGAAGGCGATGGTAGGGACGGTCAGCCTGCCCGGAAGAGGGTGACATTACCACCCATTGTAGTGAGCGAGCCAGGGACGGTAGAGACCCAGGGCCACCTCCCCCTCCTCAAAACTGCAAGGCAGAAAAGGCTGGAACAGGGAGTCTAAGTGAGGAACGCCTCTAAACTGACAGACAGCCCGAGGGCCTTAAAACTCCTCCCCTTTCTCACGCTAGGAGTTAGTGTGAGTAACAGTCTCGTGGGGTACATGTGGACTCGGGGCCGCGGCGGGCAGATTCAGCTTCCTTAGGTCTGTGATGGGGGCATTTCTCACCATCCACTTCTCTGACGAGCTAAGGTTACAGCCTTGGGCTGGGACGGGGAAGGCCTTGGAGAATCTGAAGTTCTCAGTAGTTCTCTGTTTCTTAAAGTGGTTCCTGGTGTCTGAGCTTCATAGGTGCTGTGAGCTTCAATAGCAAGCTCTTCTCCTCCAGGGTCAGAAACCAAGGGTGATCAGTGAGGGGAAGGGTCACAGGACTTCAGGAAAGCTAGTTACCAGGGGGCCCTCTGAAGCTCACTGAGGCAAGAAGACTCCAAGCAGATAAAAACCACCGGGCACCCACAGCTGCAACCTGTTCATCGTGTAGGTGGGGGACCCAAGCGTCAGAGAGTGATTTCCTCTACATCACACAGCTAGTTATTCGAACCGAAGTCTTCACTTCTTCAGGCACTAAGCTATCACCCTCACCTTACCTCTTGTGCTAGCAAAGTGGTTATGGTGGTTTGAAATTCTTTGCAAGTTCTTTACCGCTTCTCCTTTCAGAAGATGGAGTTCTGATTCCTCCCCCGTGAGTGTGGGCTGGACTTAGCAACTGGCTTCTAACAAATAGAATGTGGTGGAAGTGATGTAATGTTGTACCCCAGAAGCCTGAGTCATAAGGAGTAGACATTCCTCCTGTCACATTCTTACTTCCTCAGGACACCCACCCTGGGAACCCACCCACCGTGCTGTGAGGAAGCCCAAGCCACACGGGGAGGTGACGTGAGGTGTCCTGGCTGGGCTCTCAGCTGACAGCCGGCATCAGTCACCAGGTGGGTGGGGATCTGAGAGGAGTCCAGCCCCCAGCCTTTGAGTCTTTTCAGCCGAGGACCCTCACGTGGAGCAGAGACAAGCCAAGCGTTCTGTCTGAATTTCTCTCCCATGGAAATTAAGGGATAAGAATGTCGTTTTAAGTCAGTAAATATGGGGGTACTTTGTTGTACAGCATTAGGTAACTAATACTGAGGGTTTCCTGAAATGACAAACAATAAAGTAGATTGGGGATAGTCACTGAAAAGTAAGCTCTTCTTGAGCACCTTCAGTACGTTCGACGTGCCTGGCTCTGTACCAGCACTGGGGATGCAGCGGTGAACGTGAGGAGTGTGCTCTTTGTCCTACTAGGGCTTACGTCCGCCAGTGCAGGAGATGGCTAAACATCAGTCCGATACGGTGCTTTGCCCGAGGCTCGGTACACGGAGCTATGGGAGTATTTACCCAGGGAAACTCCCTGGTCAGGCAGCTGCTGGGGAAAGAAGAGAGTGGTATGCAACGCCAGCACGGTCTGGGCTGGAGAGTTTTCTGGGATGAGTGCATGGAAGCGGGAGTGGAGAACGGTCAAGCAAGGCGGGACCGGCATGCAAAGAGATTAGAAAATGGTGAAAGCGGGAAGGAGTGTGTCTAACTCAATCTCCTTTAAGCCGAAAGCCCAGAGAAGACTAGTGTCTTCTGTACCCAGAAACCCTCTGGGTGCCACTCCTGTACTCAGAGAACAACACCTCTAACAGATACTTGGATAACTCCTTGTCGGCTCAAAGCTCTTGCCACCACTACCTGTCCTCACAAAAACTCTGGGAAAAGTTAGGATAAGTCACTTCCCATTTTACAGACGAAGAAACGGTACACAGGAAGCTAGGCAGTTTACTCACCTAGTTCGGGAGCTGGCGCCGCAGAGCCTCGAGGTGCAAGTCACTTTGACGACGACAGCGACGGTGATGGCAGTGACGCCTACCTGACATCGCCTGTCACTGCTGCTGTCCTCACGCGCTGCGCTGGTGTTCTGGAAATATACACAGGGCCTCAGGGCGCCGACAGTGGTGTTGATCTGCTCCAACTCACTTTCTCTCCTTGTGACACTGAAACTCGAGTCTTCTCCCAGAGAGGGGAGGCTGGTTGACTTGGCTCGGGTCTTTGGCTGGAGGAGGGAAAGGCAATTTTATTAGTCCCCCCCACCCGCAAAGACTATGGACAGTTGGAGCAAGGGGCTTTCTTAAATGAAAATGGGTGCTGTTAGTAAAGGAGGGACATGGGGGTGCACAGGTATAGATGCGCTGATAAAGGGGAGACGCTATGTCTGCGCTGTCCAGTATGGCAGCCAGGGTCATATGTGGCTGTTCAACTTTAATTAACATGAAATAAAATAAAAAATTCAGTTCCTCAATCACACTAGCTACATTTCAAGTGCTCAGGAGTTACATGTGGCTTAGGGCTACAGCATAGATTATATGTACTGGGCAGCATGGGTTATAGAACATTCCCATCATTGCAGAAATTTCTATTGGATGGTGCTACTGTGGGATTCCTACTTAGAATTTCACTCTGACTTTTCTTCTCTTACCCCGTACTTGTGAATGTGGAAATAGCAAATGAGTTGAGTCAGAATCTTTATTCATTTAGTTAACACACCTATAAGTGTCTGCTCTGAATCATACATTGTGGCAGGCACCAGGGTGCCTGGGAGGGATCTTGGAGACCTTCTATTCGGTGCATCTCACATTGGAATCACCTAGGGAGCTCTTAAAAGTACTGGTACCCGGGCCACCCCCAGCAGAGACTCTGGTGAAATTGGGTCGGGGTGGGGCTTGCACACGCATGGGTTGGAAAAGCCCCCAGGGGCTGCTGATGTGCAGCTGGGGCTGAAAACCATGGCAGTCTGGGCTGGCAGTGACGTGATTTGCCTCAGATAACCCGGGGACCTGAAGCTGCATGACTCTGACCTCTAGTCTGGAGTTCTTACAGCAAAATCAGAGTTCTCCATGGAGTCAGCCCCAATGTGAACAGGCTGCAAAATTCCTAGAGGAGAACACGTCTATTCCTTAATCCAGAGGGGGTCCGATTCACTAAGCATAAAGTGCCAAAAGAACTTCTGGTTTAGAACTGCGCCTTTCTCAAACTGTTCGTGTGTTTCATGCCTGGAACTTCACTATTCAGCCAAGTGGGCGAAATGCCTGTAAAAACGGTACCCTTTTCTGAGCACCTAGTGCAGGTCAGGCACTTCGCACACAGTTTGCTTTCACCGCCAGGACACTCTTACAGGATGAGTGTTGTTGACACTAGCTTACAGATGAACAGACTGAGGTGCAGAGAGGTTAAGGATTCTAAACTTGTCCAGGTTGGCACTGCTGGGGTTCCGACTGCAGAGCTCATGTTCTTTCCTCTTCACCACCCCGTGCCGACCCCTTAGCGGAGAGCGAGGGGCCGCTGGCAGGCAGCCGCGTTGCACTATGGATCGCAC